ACACACACACATATACATACATATATATATATATATATATATATATATATATACCTCTCTCTTCCCTTGTGATAACCATTAATACAAAGCAAGAGCCTAGGAAGACATTTATAGAATCAAGAATCCTACAAAACCCTTTGTAAAGCATTGGGGATTCACAACATGAAGCTCATCCCTTCATCTCTATTGTCATTCAACAAACGTAAAGAAACATGGCTATGGCCTTCTTGTAAGAATCCCAAAACCCTTTCTTTTCGAGTCGCTTCCGGCGACATCATTTTTAAAACCGTCAATTCCGTCTTCTTTGATCCCAAGTATTCGCAGCCGGAAGCAGAAACACTGACAACCCCCGACTCCTATTTCACCAACTCCTCGGAATCTGCTAGCATTTCGACAGAGTCCGAGGAGTATTTGAACACCAATGAGTACGGATCCTCGTTGGAGACGATTGTTCGTGGGGCCAGGTCAGAACGTTTGTTCTTTGAACCTGGCCCCGTTACCAGTTCCATCCTTGAAGGTAACAAGCAATGTGCGCATGCAGAGATTGGTGGTGATGGTGGTGGCGGCGGTGGCGGCGGTGATGAGAGTGGTGGTGACGGCGGTATACCGTATAAAGAAAGCGTGGCGATGGCAATTGAATCGGACGATCCACATGGGGATTTCAAGAAATCGATGGAGGAGATGGTGGAGAGGCATGGATTGAAAGAGTGGGAGTGTTTGGAGGAGTTGTTAGGGTGGTATTTAAGGATGAATGGGAAGAACCACCATGAGCTTATTGTTGGGGCCTTTGTTGATTTGCTCGCCGGAATCTCTGGTGGCGGCAGTAGCGGCGGCGGCTATGGCGGAACCGATGGTGGTGGTGGTGGTTCTTCTTGTGATCATTCCACAATTTCTTTCACTTCTGTTGCTTCTACTTTTACTTCTCCCATTTCTTCTCCTTTGTCCAAAGGTGGTGGTGAGAAGATCATTGAGGAGGAAAAGATAATAATTAACCATTAATTTATTTGATAATTGATATATATATATATACACATATATATATATATATATATATATATATATATTTGTACTTGTGCATATATAATTAATTTAAAAATAGATATTTAATTATTAATTTTGTTGTTGTTTCGAATTGATCGGGTTAGGTAGGAACAATGTTCAAGCCTACCGGTCTGTTAAGATACTTCAGCTGCATACATTACTGCATTTCCACTTGACATCTATCGTAACGATAAACGGCTTGTGGCACATTACCATCGTGATTATGACAAAATGGGATTTAAAAAAGAAAACGAAAAAGAAAAAAACAATTAAAAAATCCAATCCCAATCGATCTAGTTCAGAGTCTGAACCAAGATTGTAGTTTTTCCTTCCCATTTCATCTGTCACGTGGCACATTATTATTGGTCAATGTTATATATTTATTTTATAAAACTTATCTGATAAAAAAAAAAACTTTAACAAAAAAATTAAAATTAAAAAATGTATTAAAGTTTATGGTTTTCGATTCCCTACAAATAGAGCATAATATTGACATATTTTCATCGTAACAATCTTTCTCTTCATTTCAATATTATCATTATCTTGCAAAAGTTTCAATTTCTTTCTTTGGTCGCTTCCCAAATTCGGTCTTGGACTCTTGGTAATTAACTACGGTTATTTATGTATTTCAGATATGTAATTTTGTACTTATTTTGTGACTTTTTTTTAATTTAATTTCAATTGTATGGTATGTTTTTATAATTATGATTACGTTTTAAAATATGCAACATATAATTTTTATAAATTAATATTTTATTTACGGTTAAATGATAAAAAAAAGTGAGATTGGTTGAAGTTGAAGATTGTGTCGGTGAATGAGAGAGAAAATAATATTTTCATTGAGATTAGGTTGAAAGGAATTATGAGTAAACATTGGCTCACATTGATTATAGCGAGACCTAATTATCAACGATAGAACAACGAAGTGATTTTGAGAAATCTCAAAATGTCACTTTTTATTGCCACATCAACGATCATGTCAGCAAAACAAGAACTTAAAAAAAGTTCGGTAAAATAAGAACCTCTTCTGATTTTTGTGTGGGTCCCACATACTTTTCACCGTCATCCTGTCTTCCTAACGGTGGATCCAAGATTTTTTTTTTAAAACAAAGACACTTTTAAGATAAATCAAAGGTCTACAAAGTTGTTCGATGTGTTTTTAGTCGATTACTGTTTCAAGGGATTTTTAAAGTTCTTTTTGTTGATTTTGAGAAATTTTTCAAGTTTTCTGGTCGATTTTAAGTGACTTTTTCAGGCTTTTTCGTTGATTTCGAGATACTTTTTCGGGTTTTTAGCTGATGTTTTTTTTATATTATTATTATATTTTCTAATATCTCGGAGCACCACTCAAAGTTTAGCGAGTGCACCTTTCATGCCTTAAAAAAGATTCTACTTCCGAAATAAGTTAAGCGGATGCATGGAAGCCCGCTTGGACATACATAGGTCCACCACCTGCTTCCTCCCATCTGGGTTATGGGCTGTTTGACAGTTGTTGAATGATTAAGTTGTCGGAATGATTAAAAGACTCTCATGATATAATACAAAATGAAACATAATTGTTTGGTAATTGTTTACGATGAAATTAGAGAGCTGAATGGTTAAAAAATACCCATGATACAAAATCATTCAGAGGATTTTGTCAAAGAAGATTCACCTCTTAACAATTCAGATGTTGCCTCTCAATGGAACTATTAAGAGATAAACAAACAACCTTTTAGTTACATATCTCCATCTTTCGTCTGTTATCTTAATCATACGTCTCCAAAAACCACTTCAAAGATCTCGCCTTTGAAAATAGCTACGACCAGTATATCTTCATCCTATGTCGTCCTCGATCTATCCCTCCTTTGACCCTCACATTTTCTACCCTTCTGACTACAATCGACATTTATCTCATATGAACGTAACGAGAGACGGATAACGACCCCGATAACACTTTACATCGCAAACGTAAATAAAAAAAAAAAAAAAAATTGGTTTGTGTGTTTTGGAGTGTAACACGTACATGACTACTTATCTTTAACTTGAACATGAACATGTTGAAGTAGGTCTACTTTGTCCAGTCAATATTTTGTTCAAATCAAATGTCACTTCTCCAAAGACAAAATCCTTCTTCTTCGCTGCTATCTATAATTAAATATACCTTCTTTATTATTATTATTATTATTAACTTTTTTATCTGTATAGTATGTACATGTGTATACAAGTAATTTGTAAGCAATTTGTCCGTATGCATAAAGGCAAAAAACGACTTCAACTATTTGTATGCACATGTGCATACTGTTCAGATGAATTATTACCAGACTTTTCAATAGGTTTTCAATTTTTGGGGTATATATATATATATATATATATATATATATATATATGTGTGTGTGTGTGTGTGTGTATGTATATAGGGTTGGGCTCATGTGAGACCAACCTGTTTTTCGTGAGACTCATGAGACCATTTTTTTTACACTTGAACTTCACAGCAAAATGATGTGAAGGTAAAAAAAAAAGCCGAACGTTCACAGCGTTTTGCTGTGAAGTTTCAAATGTAAAGAAGTGGTCTCATGGATACAGGCTGATTTCAAGTAATCCCAGATATATATATATATATATATATATATATATATATAAATTATATGGAGCTTCCAAATGCGAAAATATTTGGAAAGATTGAAAAGTTTGCATCAAAAGATTTGGAAATGTGTATGAATAGTTGTATTCTATTCGATGCTAATTTCCAAACAAGGCTTTGGAAGTCTGGATGACATGACCAATCATTCATCATTATGTTTTCCCTCACTTTCTTCTCCCCTACATAATATCTGGTTGAGAATCGTCAAAACTGATCTAATCGAATACTGTTTTGTTAATAAAAAAGAAGCATAATCGTCATTTTGGTAACAAAGATTCACCAAATGAAACACACACTCACCTTATTTCACTTCATAAAATAAACCATAATGTTCATAAATATGTTATTTCACCCGATGAAATCCAAACATAATGTTCATGTATATATTAATTCACCACATGAAACCAAACACATATTTCATCTATTGTCTGTTTTCATGTAATGAAATCAAACATAGATATTCTACCAATGCAGTTTCGTGACCCTACCAACATACTCTCTGGCAGTTCTACCGAGAATGCGACGTCTACGACACCGTCGATTTCGTCATCGGGAACGCCACTGTCGTTTTCTAGAAATCTAACTTCTACTTTAGTTCGTGAGTAGTGCTATCATTGGAGTGACTATGTGGAATCTCACATTTGTTTGTGTACGGTACATATCATTCACCTACTGTACCTAGATAGTCATTAATGAATACTGATATACACTGATTATTCAATGTTTTTACACTCATTTTTTTTTACCTGTAATTAGCTTATTTACATCCCAACTTCGAGTCTTTTATCTTCTTAATTTCCATTTATTGTTTCTTAGAGCTAAATGCTATGATTTACTTTTTTTTAAGACAAATAGATGATTAACTTACACTTTTTGACCGATCACTCATGCTAAAGCATTGATGCAGCATAGGGCAGCAGTTGGATATGGAAGTTGGAGACTTGAAGGAAAATGGGAGATGCTAAAAGACAATTTTTGGAAGCTTGTTGAACACTTTTTGACAAATCCTTTATGATATACAGCTAGAAATAGTTGTCTTAAAAACCAAGAAACAACTTCAGTTACTCGTGTGCATATGTACATATCATTCAGATGAAAAATTATCAGAGTATTCATCGGTTTTTTTATTTTTTTAGGGGTTTCCTCCAAAATCTCCCTCCCTCCCCTCTCTCTCTCTCTCTCTCTCTCTCTCTCTATATATATATATATACATACATATATGTTTTCTATTTATTATTTAATAATACAATGATATTAAAAAATTTACATTCATATTAGAAAAAGAATAATCATATATATTAACTACTATTATACAAAAAGTTAGTGAACATATATTCAAAATAGATTTTCGAAATGTTTTAAAACTTCGTTTTTATTGCTGATTTTGTGCCATGTGTGAATCCAAAGAAAACTATGAGTAATGTGATCAGCTAAATCTATAAAGATTAAAATGTAAAAACACAAAAATAAAAAAAAAATACTTTTCAAAAAAAAAAGTCGTGCCTTGTAAAAAACGTGCACCACACGTTACACAAAGATACATGTTTTATCATCACTATGTAGACGAGTCCTACACCATAACGAAACACTGCTCAAGACTGATATTTTATCTGATAAAAGGTCAACCGGTTCGACAAATCGGGCCGGTTTGGATCTTTTAAAATATTCAAATAACCTAATCTCTAAGTCCTAAAAATGATGGGCTTTTTGAAATGTGAGGAGCCCATTTGTAACCAAGTAAGATATTTATTAGCCCAAATTATATTAGTGGGTTGATGTTTCAAAATAAATTATGAAAACCATGAAATTGTGTTAACCTTAAGAACCAGTGCATCATGTGTTATTTCATATATATAACTAGAATTTAAGGTAGTGATTGACATATATTTGTTTCACAATTGTTTCATATATACTCAGTTCACAATGTGAATTTTTTTTGTGTTCGTGAAACAAAAAATACACGTAAACAAGTTTTACATTGTGAACCGAATACATATGAAATACACACATACATTGTGAAACTAATATATGTTAATCACTACATTAAATGTTATATATTTACATGAAAAAAAAAATGTGAAACATGACCTTAAGGTAGAAGTTCTCATAGATCTCACAAATTTTGGAGTTCTCAAATGATTTACATAAACATATGTTTTCTGATATTACTCAATGAGTTAATGATAATAAACAATTTAAATTAACTTATATATATATATATATATATATATATATATTTAAAAACTAACAACTAATACATTAAAAAGCTAAATAAAATATCATGTTACAAAAACCGTATATCAGGCCATGATGTGCCATAGGCTTAACATGGTATGAGACACAATCTTTAAGTTACAGCACGCCATGACGGCTGTTGCGGCGAACCTCTTATCACAATGATAATATATGATTGCTGAATCTTTTTATTTTATATACGTAAAAGTGTAAGAACTGAATAATGTATTTACGCATTTTTCTTCATAAATAACATTTCATTGTACTGGTAATGAGCGTTGTCCATATTAACTCATCTTATTTCAGATATATTTTAACAAAAAAAAAAAAACAACTTCTAAATTTCGTGAATGGTCGTGTTTTTATCTTCTATCAGTCAGATCACATGTATAATGAGTATTATTACATCTGTGTATCGATCTTTCTACAAACATTAAACGACAAATGCCAAAAATCTAATCACCAAAGACCCCATATGCAAAAACCGGAATGACAAAGTCTCATTCCGATACAGAATTGAATGTTAGTGTATTCAACGTTATCAGTCATTTTGTTGGACAAGGTCAAAACGGGTGATATAAAATTTGAAGTTGCGTTTTTTTTTCCTTTCGAAAAAGCTAATGAAAAAGAGCATCCGAACCCAGTATCGCTAAACTGTTAATTACTGAAACCAAATACTGAATTTCTTTTATAGGAGTAAACCTATGGTCCAAGACAACATAAAACAGCTTTCTTTTGTTCTTTCCTTGAGCGCGCCTCAATCCATCAAAAAGATTACGTATCAAATCCCCCCTTTTTCCCTTTCAAGCGCTTTTCGTCTTGTTTTCTTCTGAAAAACAAGAAAAAACAAATTATAACACTCTTTACAAAAAGCGTAAATATTATTCTTCGATTCGATCTTTGTTTTTGAATTTGAATCATTATAAGGCAAGTTTCTTTACAAAAGCCAAAAACATAAGTACAAAGATTCTTACATAAAATCATAAAATTAAGCTTAAACCTTACACTACCGTTTTTCACGTATATGTCATCATCATCATCATCATCTTTTTTTTTTCATTAACCTGGATATCCAACCCGCTATGCGAGCCGACTAATCCCAAGCGATCACCCGCTTCACGGGTAACCTGAAGTCACCACATTTGAACCTCCGTGGCTACAAGAGAATTTTTCTTCTTCCTTGGATTCGAACCTGAGATCTCTAGTCACTTTTGACCTTTGGAGTCCAAACTCAAATCAATCGGACACCACCCTTGTGGTTGTCATCATCATTTTCTCACCCCCAACAAGAGTTAAGTATCAACAGCGTTTCAAAGTTACTGACTACTAAAATAACTGTTAGTTTGGTAGATAATTAAGTCAAAACTGATCTTTCTTCAATTTCAGTCAGAAATATCAAACAAAAACCTTATTCATGATCCTAATTCATCAATCTCAGTAGATAATATCAAAAAGAAAAAAAAGAATACATGATTATCACTAAACATTTACAGCATCTAAGTCTGTAAACAGTAACACGATCATAAAAAGAATAATAAATGCACTGGTTTTTCTTGAATTTGTAGTTATTAAACTTTTTTTGAAAATTATAATATAAATGTTCAAAAATAAATTATAATAAAATTTTAATGTCTATAATATTAAATTTAATTTTTCATTAACAATAAAACCAATGATTGAGGAACTAAAATTAATCAATGGCTATAGGTTCTCCAATCATAGAGTAATTCTATATATATATATATATATTCACTAATGATTACAACCACAAATATATGAATAACTTAATGAACTTAATTTTAAAGATATCTTTTAATATATGATTTTTTTTAATCATAAATACATTTTATTATTGAATAAAATATCAAAAAATGATTTTCCTATATATTAAATAATAATAAAAAAATCTTTTTCGAAAGAAAACATAATATTTGATGGACAACTCAAAAATTATATGTGAATTTATTATTTATAGAGAAGTTGTGAATTTAAATAAAATAAATCTAAAATGTATAAAATTTTAATGTGTTTTAATTTAATTGATTAATATTAATGAGACGTGTAATTTTGGTACAACAAATTTTTATCTGATAAATTTTGGTTATTTTTTATATCAAAATAAGTCAAATAGATAAATTATTAAAATTTAAAACCGTAGCTAAAAGTGAAACATGTCGACTTCATTCAATATGTATTCAAATGCATACAGCATTTCTACGATAGCTCTTTAGAGTCCAGTTTTATTACAAACCCAGTAATTTTTACAAATGTACAAATCAGTTTTCATGTGTTGTTTCGTATATGAAATCATGTATATGAAAATACAGTGTTTATACAATGTTGTTTCATATGTGAAACGTTATTTTTTTCATTCACAAAACAAATCATGGACGTTTTACATTTAAAACAACATTTTATTGACAATGCATCTTCACACATGTGGTTTCATATGTGAAGCAATACATAAAAACTGGGTTATGAGTTTGTACCATTTATTAGGTTTGTAAATAATTACGCCTTTATCTCTTTAATAGTATGATTTTGTATAAATACATGATTACCGCTCTTACCCATATATTTAGCCACTGATACACAAGTTATATGTAGGCAAGGGTTCAAATGAGAGCACCCATGTTTTATGAAAATATGAGAACATAAACTCTTGACGTCTTCCTTAGGCCTGCCCAAAATCTTTCTCCTCGTCATTGGCAATGTGGGATTCGCCTAAGATGTTACAAACACCCCCTTTCAAGGACGAATCATACCCGATGAGGTTTGCCCCACCATCCCGATGGTACAAGAATCGACTCTGATACCATTTGTAACACCCCTAAAGCTCAAAGCAATGAACTGACCCAATAACTTTGAACTCAACTTAAAATAATGATGAAAGTTATTGGTAGCCCACTACTTTGTATTTATAAGAAGCTAACAATTCGCATGTTCTATCCATGTGGGACGAGTTGTTACACTTAATAAAAACTATAATAAATGAAAAAAAAAATAGTATTTATCAACAATTTTCAGTCATTTTAGATTTGCCTTCATCTCTCAAACGTTGTTAGTATTATCGAAAACTTCTTATCAATGCCTCCGTTGTTGACGATACTATGATAATAATGTATGTATGTATGTATGTATGTATGTATGCATGCATGCATGTATGTATATTGATGAAAAATATTGAAAAAAGAAAATGAATGGTGAAGTTAAAGGTAAATGAGATTTTGTTTGTTTCTAGTGTTTGATAGAAGGTAGAGTCTGTAACCAAGACAAGCTTCCACACCACAAAGCTTTTTGTAAAAAAGAGAAAGTAAGGGGTGGGATTTTGTAAAATAAAGAAAGTTAAGGGGGGACAAAGTTTCCACAGCTTGTAGCTTTTGCAGTCTTTAGAAAAAGAAAGTTACAAATTGCACCCTTTTAAATACCATCACTCTCCAAATTTACCTTTTTTTTAATTTTTTATTACATTATTATTACAACCCATCTTTTCTTTTGCTTGAAAGTAAGGGAAGCTATGGCCTTGGATCTATCACTTCAAATTATCACCTCTAATTCTAAAGCAGTCCAACTTCCATTATTATCTATGTACTTTCACCTTTTTTTGGTTTTTAGAGACTAACAAAGAGGAGTGAGAGTCACTATGTGTGTCACACACATAGAGAGAGAGAGAGAGAAAATAAATTGTAAAAAATGAAACAATTTACCCGGTAAGCACTAATCATGGTAAGAGTCATCGTCATCACTAAAACTCTTGGTAATTGTCTTAGCACTTACAGGATAAGATTCTTGGTCTTTGTCATATTCATCTCGTAAGATAATGTGACTTGATAAATGTTTATCTGGATAAGCATTTACGAAAAGAACCCTAAATAATAATAAAACATAGTCTTTTTATGAGAGAGAACTTTGCTTTGCTTCACATGCATTCCACTTTCACATACAAAACTAACAACTACAAGAAAAGCACAAAAACCCCACTTCACACTACTTCTTTTAGTACCCTCTTCTTATAAACTACATATCACCACTAGTTGGCAATGCAATATGCACACCAACTTTCAAGATCAAAAACCCACATGAAGAACAAGACCATATAACCATTTCTTGACCCCTACCTTCATAAATCTTGAAAAAAACCCTAACCATATTCAAGAAAACCATAGCTATAGTGAAACATGAGGGCTGGAGGCTATACAATCCAACACACACTAACACCCGAAGCCGCAACAGTGGTGAAGCAAGCTCTCGGTTTGGCTAGACGGAGAGGCCATGCGCAGGTCACGCCGCTCCATGTAGCTAGCGCGATGTTGGCATCGCCAACAAGCCTTTTACGGAAGGCTTGTCTTCAACCAAACTCTCACCCTCTTCAATGCAAAGCTCTCGAGCTTTGCTTCAATGTGGCCTTGAATCGTCTCCCTACTTCACAGTCGAGCCCTATCATGTTAAGCCCTAATCAATCTCACCACCCCTCTCTTTCCAATGCGTTGGTGGCGGCTTTCAAGCGTGCTCAAGCTCACCAACGACGTGGTTCTATTGAAAACCAACAACAACCCATTTTGGCTCTTAAAGTGGAGATAGAACAACTCATTATATCCATCTTGGATGATCCTAGTGTGAGTAGAGTCATGCGAGAAGCCGGGTTCTCTAGCACCCAAGTTAAAAACAACATCGAACAAATGGAGATAGCGGTCTCTTCCCCAAGCCCTGTGAGTTTTTCTCAATCAAAAGAGAACATCAAACCCGTATCTTCAGCCAAAGTCCAAGATGAGGATGTGATGAGTGTCATAGAAATGATGATGAACAAGAAAAGAAAGAACATCGTTGTTATAAGAGAGTGTTTGGCTAGTGCTGATGCCATAGTTAGAGGAGTTATAGACAAATTCGAGACCGAAAACAACGTCAATTTGAGGTTCATGCAGTTCGTAAGCCTTCCTTTGCACTCGCTAAATCATCTTTCAAGGGAAGATGTTGAAGATAAAGTTAGGGAGCTCAAGTGTCTGGTGAAAAGCTATGTGGGTAGAGGAGTAATCTTATATTTGGGTGATCTCAAATGGGTTTCGGATTACTGGTCGAACCACAGCGAACAAAAGCTGATCAGAAGCTGCTACTACTCTCCAATGGAGCACATGATCATGGAGCTAAGTGGACTCATGTTTGGTGTTGATAGTGGGAAGTTGTGGTTGATGGGGATAGCCAATTCTCAAACATACATGAGGTGCAAAACAGGTCACCCTTCACTTGAGACTCTATGGGATCTTTGTCCTCTTACACTTTCTGTTGCCAGTTTGGACCTCACCCTCAATCTTGAAAGGTAACTACACTGATCTGATCAACTTTTCTTTTTTTGGTTCTATTGTCTTAAAGACTATCTTTTTCATGTTAGACAACTGATCTTTGAATTGGGTTTTGTTTTATAGCAACAAAGATTCAGGAAACAAGATGAAAATGCTCACTTGTTGTGGGGAGTGTTCGGTTAACTTCACACGAGAGGCTCGAACCATAACGAGCTATGGCCGTACCAACAGGTCCATTACTACTGCTACTACCACTGGCTCCACCTTGCCTTCATGGCTCCAACAGTACAAGGAAGAGAACTCAAGACAGACTATCAATTATGATCAGGTTAGTTCTTGTTATATTATACATGTAGAAACTGCAAAAAATGAAAAACCGAGAAAGATCTTGTAACCATTCATTTTGATGGTATGCGTATGTACATACAAGTAATTTGTAACATGCACACGTGCATAAAACCAAAAAACCGCTTCAATTACTTGTATGTGCGCGCACACACACGCACGCACACACATACACATATATATATACATATATATACATACATGCTTAAAAACCCTAATCTTGTAACAACTAAGTGATCTAAAACAATATGATAAATGGTGCAGGAATGTGAAAAAGTTGGGAATCTTTGCAAGAAATGGAACTCGATTTGCAGTTCACTACACAAACAACCCATGTGGCCTGTGATTTTTGAATCAAACAGATCCCCAAAAGAATACCAGTTTTTCACATCGATAGTCGACGATGAATGTTTCGATGAGCCCAACCCGAAAACGCTTATGCCTGAACTCCTATCGAACCCGAATTCCAGTCCAAATTCGGCTTCTTGTAGTGAAGCTAGTGAAGATGATGATCATCAGTACTACTTACACAAGTTCAAAGAGGTCACTTCTGAGAATGAGAAGGTTCTAAGCAATGCATTGGAGAGAGTTGTACCATGGCAAAGAGAGGTGATTCCAGAAATAGTAAGTACAATCCTTCAATGCAGGTCTGGATCAACAATGGAACGAAAAGGGAAAGAAGAAACATGGTTGTCTTTCTTGGGTGCTGATAACCATGGAAAAGGGAAGATAGCAAGAGAGCTAGCTAAGGTTGTATTTGGATCAAGAAACAACTTGGTGCACATAGGCCTCAGCAGTTTCTCAGCAACAAGAGCCGATTCTACCGATGATGATCAAGAATTTGTTAGCAACAAAAGGGTTAGAGACGAAAACGGCCAAAGTTATCTCGAAACGTTTGCTGAAGCTGTACAAGAAAACGCAAGCCGAGTGTTCCTAATGGAAGATATCGAGCAGGTGGATTACCATTCGCAAACGGGCATCAAGAAAGCAATCCAGAATGGAAGAATCACCCTAAATGGTGGCCAACCGGTTCTTCTCGACGACGCCATTGTTATCTTCAGCTGCGAAAGCTTCAGTTCGGTTTCACGAGTTTGTTCTCCTAGCATTAGGCGAAAGTACAACAACGAACAACGCGAAACCGTTGATGAGTCCATCACTTTGGATTTGAATGTTGCAACTGAAGATCACAGCAGATCAAATGATCAAAACTCAGTTTCTGATATTGGGATTTTGGATTCAGTTGATAAGCAAGTGATTTTCAAACTCCAAATGTTGTAATATCAATATGATCATGACTTTTTTGTCTGTAAATTAGGGTGTAGTTTGAAATGGGGTTTTAGATTTTGTGATAGAAATGTGAGTTTAGGTATGCATACTAACAACTGCCTTTCATGATCTTCAGTTCTTGTAATAGATTTGGTAATATTTGTGCTCATATTTTAGTTTCATGGCTATTTTACTTCATTTCTCACATAATTTTATACATTCTGTTGAAAACCCACATTTTCGATCGATGTTTGACGATAAATCTCGTCAGTAACATTGTATTCGAGAATGAGGGTTTTCGATACGGTAGAGATCCGTCAAAAAACCCACGAAAACTACAAGGGATTTTCGACGAGCACAGTTGTCATTGAAAATCCGTCTAAAATCTTCGACGGAATATCAACGGGCCATTTTGCTTCAAAAATCCATAGAAAATTTTAGAAAAAAATTAACTGATATTCTGCTAAAATCTATCTAAAAACCATCGAAAATACCCAGTTATCTAGTAATAATATATGACCATAATTGTCATGGACGTCTGGAACTTAGAGCTTAACCATTAAGCCACAACTACGATTATTCATTTTATTATAAATTAAAATAAAATATCCTTATAAAAAATAAAATATTATTATAAAAATTTAAATATTTATTTAAGAAAGGAATTTAATTTAAAAGGAGTTGATAGAAACAAACAATAAAGAGAATGTTGGGATTCATAAAGTTTGACAAAGACATGATCCATGACTTTGGCAAAGAATAAAAGTAACTAAAGAAAATGCAAAAGAAAGCTCATAATAAATCAAAGATTTTGAATTTTGGAGGCAGGGTGGACTAGGAAGGTAAAAAAATCCGAATTTTTATAGTAAAAACACTGTGAAGGTAAAAAAAATCGAACATTTATAGCAAAAACACTGTGAAGGTTACCTTCACAACGCTTTGCTGTGAAGTTTCAAGTGTAAAAAAGTTGTCTCACGAAAACAGGTTGGTCTCACGTGAAATCTGTTTATAAATATAATATATTCAACATTTGAAGTTCTACTTTATTATGACAATACATTTTTTTGTTCGAAATCTTACACCCAACGATTGTTTGAAAAAAAATATATAATTGACCACATATTTGATTCTCTGTAGTATATATTATTCATCATTTTAATGTAAATTTTAAAATAATCGGTCATTTCTAGTAATATAATAGATGGGGTTAGTTTTTTATGACAGTTGCTGAATGGTTTGATGTAAAATGATTAAGTAGTCAGAATGATTTAGAGGCTTTTATAATATAGTGCAAAATGAAATATAATTGTTTGGTAATTACTCGAAATGAAATTAGGGTCCGGAATAGTTAAGGGAGGTCCAAGATACAAAATCATTCAGAGAGTTTTAGAACCATTAAGAGATAAACTTTTTTAAAGTACAATGTTCTAATAAAAAATAGTTTGAATGTACATTGTTGTAATAAGAAAAACTGGAAGTACAATGCTATAATAAAGAAATTTATGAAAGTAGATTGTTATTTTGTGCATTTTGCCATATGCTTTTATAATATATTGCAAAATGAAATATAATTATTTGGTAATTATTCAAAATGAAATTAGGGTGCGAAATGGTTAAGGGAGGTCCAAGATACAAAATCATTCAGAGAGTTTTAGAACTATTAAGAAACAAATTTTTTTTTGACAAACAAGATTCAACTTTTAACGATTGAGAGGTTGTCTCTTAATGAAATTATTAAGAGATAAACAAACAACCCTTATGTTTTTATAAAAAATTATGTATTTAAAAAAAATTAAAAAGTAAATATTTTGGAGGGAAAGAAAAAAAAAAGCCAACAAAAAACTCCAAAAGAAAATAAAGAGAAAAATAAAATGGGAATCAAGTGTTTAAACTTTAACAACCATGATTCCTTTTTTTATTAACATGTATATCCAACCCGTTATGCGAATCGACTAATCTCAGGTCGACCATCTGTTTTGCAGATGACCTGGAGTTGCCGTATTTGAACTTTCATAGCCACAAGAAGATTTTTATTTCTCATTGGATTATTATTCATTTTTAATAATGATTAAAATTATTACTAAAGAAAATATCATTTTACTTTCATGTTTTCTTTGATTATTTACATATTTAATGTCATATTACTGTAAAATTTGTTATCAAATTCACTATGAACAAATTGCATGAAAAAATAACGTATTTTAATTTGATTCTTTTTTCGGGTAACGTACTTTCAGAAATTTCATTTTGGTACCTAAGATGTAAAGTTTTAAACATTTAAGTATCTGGGTAACCGGTTGAAGCATTAACCGGTTATCATGCTAATGTGGCGAGTGATGTAGTATCTAACTCAATATTATTTGTTGATGTGATTAGTGATATATATTTTTTAATCTAAAATTAGTCTTTTTTTAATCTAAAATTAGTTTTCAACCGGTTACCTGGGTACTTAAATGTTTAAAATCTTTTATCTTATATACCAAAATAGAAGTTTTAAAAGTACGTTACTCAAAATAGGAATCAAGTTAAAGTACGTTACTTTTTCATGCAATTTGCCCTTTATATACAATTATACGGCTAATAGATGTTTTCATTCATGTACGTAACAACATAAATGAAACTGCAACGACACTTTTACATGTCGATAAAGGGGTTCCAAAAACCAAGTCAACCAAACATTTACCAAATAAAACAAATCACAGTATACAATAAAAGACCACTGTTCTTTAAATGATCAACCAGTTACTTTAAAAACGAAAATAACACAGGTCAACACTACGTGATCCATTCAAAAACGACCACCAACATAAAACTAGATCGATTAAATCAAACTGCAACCGAACCTGACCGATCAAACACTAAAATGCAGATAACGCTTTCCTACTTTTTACACTTAAAATTAAATAATTGTATCATACCACTAACTCATTAAAATTGGTTAGAAAGGCAAACCAAACACCACCACTCAAATCCCATTATAATAAATATAATATTAAAATTAAGAAGCCACTATTAATTAGGATAATATTAATTAATCACTTTATGCACAATGGATTATGTCTTCATTTTCATGTTATCTCTAACACCAAATGGAAATCTAAGTTCCCGTTTTGCTTACTATACCTGATGTTGTAGCATTATAAACTGTATTGTTACTCTTTGTTTTCGTCAGGATAAATCTGACCTCTTCCTCTGTTTTCGCCTTCGTATATAGGATATTTTAAGAAGTGAATCTCTTTCTTAGTAACGGGGTTGGGGGAAAGAATAGGAAAGGTGATTTCAGTATATATTTGACCAGGAACAGGGCCTATGACAAGAATATTTTTTTGATTGGGGCGATAAATCTGAAAAAAACAGATTGCCCATCTTTTCTTTTATCTCGAGGGAAGTATGATCGAAAGGGGTTAATTCAAAACCTTCTGATAAAATAAGAACAACCCCTACAAACCCTCTTCTAACCCGAGTAAGCGTTTATTAAGTCACATTACCTTACCGGATGAACATAGTAAGAACCAATAATCTTATCCGGTAAGAGCGAGACAAAGACCATGAGTCTTACCCGGTAAGTGAGGGCGACGACTCTTACCACAATAAGCATTTACTAGACGAATTGTTGCATACGATGCCGTTTCTGTGAACTAAAGTTTTACTCGGTAAGTAAATGGTAGTGTTAGATTTTACCGATAAACGTTTACCAGGTAAGTGTTTGGTAAACGGCCTCTAACATGTTATTATTTTAATTTTCAAATTACAGTTTTCAGTTATTATTATGTGCATTTGAGTTACAAAGGACTAATGTGTCATTTACACTTGAAAAATACTTAGTGATGAACATAGATCTTTTCATGAGTATGCCATTAACACTTGGTACGACTTTTAGGGTCAAGATATTCATCTTTCAAAACTTGAAGAAAAAAATACAGAGAAATTTTTTGAAAAGAGACACCATTTGACTATAAGAAACAAATGTACAATTTTTTTTTCCAAACACTGACACCATTTTAACTAAGATGTTACTAACAGGATTCGAACTTGGGTCTGGGTGGAATAAAAATCTTGTAAACCAACTCTACCAAATAAAACTTGTTCTCATTGTAGTTTTAAAATATATACAGTGACACACAACAAATTAATATGATGGCACATTTCACGAACCTAAACTTTTGTACCTTTCGACAGCTTGTCACCGTATGCACCACTATAAGTACGTCCCTGGTTTATAGCACCATAGATACAACATGAAAAGAGAAATAACCAACGATAAAAATATACATAAATTTACCATCTTACCCTTAACGATATGGTCATAAAAAACAAGCTTCAATGCATAAAATTACTATCTTACCCTTAGAACCATATGTTGCAATTCATCACTTACAAAAGTCATGGAAATTTAGTGGTAGTCAATGTCATCAACATTATCATCAAGATGTTGGTAAGGGGGAAAAGTATGAACTACGGGGTGCAATATTTTGATAGGAAAAAAAATGGGTGATGTGATGAAAGAGACACTTAACATGATAACCCTCCCATAAATGAAACAAACTTCAATCTAAAATGACCTTTTTGTCCTTTATGCCTTTCTTCTACAACTCCAAAATCATGTGTTCAAACACATCTCTTTTTTGATCATAAGAGGTGTTCTCACACCTTTAAGATCATTAGGGTTTTATTTTTTCTAAGATGAGTTTACATTATGAAAAATGATGAGTCTATAGATTAAAAGAACCCCATATGTATGCTAAATGAACCTCTAGTCTACAGGGGTGTGTGTGTATATATATATATATATATATAGAGGGTGGTTCAAATACTAACCCATTTTTTTGTGTTAACTCTACTAACCAACATCAACCAATCATATTCTTTCTTTATTTTATGTTCAAATGTAACTTATAAATTGAATACAATGGTCATTTTGTAATTTAACCTTTATGTAACTCCCTAATAATTATTTGGGAGTTACAAATTTTTTAAGATCCCTCTAATTGATCATGAGGTAAACCGATGTTCACGGTGTTCATGGTGTTCATATCCATGTAATATCCATGAACATTCACCGTGTTCATATAAATGTTCATCGTGTTCATGCAATGTTTTTACAAAAGTACCCTGTGAACCGTTGTTCATAGGCATCTCAATTAATATATTAATTAAATGATTATTTTTATAGTCTCATTTAATAAGGACCGTTTGATGAGAAATGAACGATCAAGATCGGGTTAACATAGTTTGCACAATAATTTTGGTTAGTATTTGAACCAGCCCCTATATAGATATATATAAGGGTTGGGTTCACATGAGATCAACCTATTTTCGTGAGAACTGTGAGACCATAAAATAACAATGAAACTTCACAGCAAAAATTGTGAAGGTATGAAAAACATCGAACCTCCACAACAAAAACACCGTGAAGGTTTACCTTCACAGTGTTTTGTTGTGAAGGTTCAGTGTTATTTATGTGATATCATGGGTAGACAACAGCCTAGTCTCACATGATCCCAAATGTGTGTGTATGTGTGTGTGTATATATATATATATATATATATATATAGAGAGAGAGAGAGAGAGAGAGAGGGGTCCAGGGAAAACTTGAGGAACACTTTAATAACGTTCATCTATATGGTATGCACATGTGCTTACAAGTAAGTAAAGTTTTTTTTTTGGTTTCTTTGAACCCTGCATGTTATGTACATGTTCATACTGAAAGAATTACTTATAAATTATTTGTATACACACGCGCATACCGTACACATGAATAGTTACTAGGGTGTTGCCCAATTTTTCATTTTTTTGCTGTTTTCCGTGAACCTGATCCTATATCACCCTCTCTCTCTCTCTTTACATATATATATATATATATATATATATATATATATATGTGTGTGTGTGTGTGTGTGTGAAAATGCCAGAGAGGGGGTCAAGCTTTAACCTCTACTATGGTATGAGCCAAAACTTTCCTAATTCTTAAATACTGATTTAAAAGGGAGTTTGTTTAGCAATATCCTACGTAAAACCACAAATGAAATGAAATGACGGGTAGTCACGTAGATGAACGAAAACAAGAAACACCTTTTAATGTATGAGATTTATGTTGTTTAAAAAGGGATTCACCTAATAATAATTGTAATCTTCCTCAAAATCAATGATTAAGGAGATAATCTCAATGGCTTGAAGGTTCTGCAATCACAAAATACATATGTTAATAACAAGAGATGATGTCACAATAATATATATATATATACAATGTATGTATGTATAGCCATCATTGCTGACAGGAAAAAAGATGGTGAAAAACAAAGAAAAGGGGGAAAGAGGAAAAAGCAAAAACACAGCTCCTTTTAAGGGTGGTTTGATGCTTTAAAGTATTCCATTAGGTGTTTTCTTTTGAAAGCCATTTCAACTTTCCTCTTTAATGGCAATATACAATCCAAAAATACAAGCTTCTATTTCACAAAATCTATAATATTATACAGATATATATATCTATATATCTAGAGAGAGAGAGAGAGAGAAGATTCATGATCCCACAACCACATATCCATACCAACTATCATATTTACCATCAGACTAGACATAATTGCATTGAATAGAATAAACATGCAGGTTTATGCACATTCTTGCTCTTGTTATCGCTCCGAAATTTTGAAAAAAATGGTGGCGTATTTGATGGTAATGTTGATGATTGCTGTAGATTTATTCAGATCATAGAACACTAACGGCCTGTTTGTTCACAGCTTAATGAGTTTAACGAGACTCACAACTTATTCGGTTAGCTATACATGATTGTTCGTAGTGGCTTAATGATATAGAAAATGGCTTGTTCAGGAAGTTTTTAGGAGGGAACTTTATCCATAAAGCCAAGTTTGGAAAAAACTTGTCACTCCGAATTAAAAAATGTGCACCTTCCATCTATGAAAAAACCCTCCAAAACAAAAATCTTCCCCTCCCAATTAAAAAACATGCACCTTCCATCTATGAAGGAACCCTCTAAAACAAAAACTTTTTCAATCCATACAGACAGATTAATCCACACTGACAGCTTTATCCATATAGAACTTGATGAAAAACCAACCAAACAGCCCCTAAACATTGTGTCTTTTGGCATCTCTATCTCAACAATCCGAGAGGGAGAAAGAGACGTCATACCTAGTGGTGAACACCTCTTCCTTTCGGGTGTGTTTGGTAAGCGGGAAAGGGTAAGACATGAAAAAAGCTTGTTGTCCCATGTTCAATGTGACATTAAGACTGGGAACAAGACTGAGTAAAACAAAAATGCATTTTCCTTGCTTTACCACAATAGGTGGAACAAAAATGAGGAAGATGAGATAAGATTGATAAATTACTAAACTACCCATGTCAAATTAAAACCCTAAAACCTTATACACCTCACTCTCGCCCATCAGCCCAATCCGAATACCAATTACCCATCCTTCATATCCAATGTCATGAATCATGATTTCAAGTCTCACCTCTTTAACCTGATCTTGTAGAGAGAAAGGTGGCATTCTGCAAAAAAAAAATAGCATGCAAGCAAAGTTTCCAAAGCTGGCCACCAGCTTCTGTAGATTTCAAAAGAAAAAGGGAAAAAAAATGGTACCCTTTCGAAATATCAATACCCCTATTCTAAATCCAAATTCCGACTCCAACTCCAATTTAAAGCAATGTATGAGTTCTACTGCATGATGCACAAGGAAACATAGCAGCATTTTATGTGAATTCAGAAGTTTAAGCTCTGGCAAAAGGAATTCTTTATATATATATATATATATATATATATATATAGATCATTTATATAAATATATACACACATATAAAGCTTCTTTCTCTCTATATATGATTCTTTTGCATGAAAGTAAGGGAAGCTAGTCTTGGATCTGTTACCCAGATAATCAGTCTTTAGTGGAATCTTTCCTTTCTAGCTCACAAAAACAACTATACAGACAACATGAATCTATCTTTAGTTTTTCTGTGATTCATGATTTGAATGTGATGATATTGAGGGATCCAAGGCTCCATCATTTCAAAGAGAAAATGTGGGGTTACATGTAGAATGCTAGGATAAAATAGAAGACCAGTCAAAAGGAGGAGGAAAAACAAAAGTTAAATCAAGAATGTCTGATCAGATCTTAGATATGGTATGATGCTGCTTTCAATGATTATTTGGTCATTGTTTGTCAGCAATGAGATATAAAGAGATGCAGAAAAAGAAACAAAGTGAGGAGAGAGATAATACCTTTTTTCTATCATGTGCTTCCCATGCCCCTCCTTCCCTTACTTGGGTCTTGTACCCCATAAAACTTCAACTCTACAGTTGATTTAAAGGCAAAAGAGATCACAGTATTTCAATGTTAAAAGAGCTGTTAGAAAGAAAAAAAAATACCATCCAATAATAACAACATAAAAAGAATCTTGTGGACCAAAACCAATATACATAGAGGGAGATTCAGGGAAACCCCCTAAAAAAATGAAAAACTGAGGAACACCCTGGTAACTAAAGTTGTTTCTTGGTTTTTATGCACGTTTGCATGTTATGCACATGTACATACCGGATACATTGCTTACAATTTACTTGTACGCACATGTGCATACCATCCAGATGAACGGTTACCAGGGTGCTCGTCAATTTTTCATTTTTTTTTTTGCGGTTTTCCCCTAAACTTGACCCTACATCTATGATGCATATACGTAATTTTGGATTAAAAATTGTCACATAAAAAGCTAGCAAGTAACGATGATAATGAATGAATACGTAATTTGTTAGCTTGACAATTTTCCTAAAGGAGAAAACATTGCACTTTCACGAGACATCCCGCAATAGAAATTGTGAAAGTTTTCATGGTGTGTGATAAAATGTGAAACCCCATAAGATTATCTCCAAAAGAGCCCTTGAAGAGAAATGAGAGGTTCCAACATATAATGAGGAGAAATGGTCCAAGTCTAACCGATGCAGGACTCTAACACGCCCCTTCCAAAGGAGGCTAGACGAAGACAGATTACCCCAGAGTGTCAAGATACAGATTGCCCAAAAGTGTCGAATCCCTAGAATGGTAGACCTTTGCTCTGATACCATGTGAAAATATGTGGAACCCCATTAGATTACTCTCCAAAGGAACTCTCGAGGAGAAAAGGGAGGTTCCAACATATTTGAGGAGAAATGGTCCAAGTCTAGTCGATGCAGGATGCTAACAGGACGGAATGAATGAATATATTCTACACAAGTACACTTGTACATTCTGGAAAATAGTAGCTTCGTAATTCTAGAAATTTCAGTGAGCTGAGATAAGTTACATAAAGAAGCATTCAAAGAAAACACAACACATTGATGCAATATACATAGCTGACAGATAAATCTACACAACAAATTGGGTTCTATGATCAATCTAATAGAATATGTCAGATATGAAACAAGAATAAGGAGACACTCATTGTTATATACACCAGCCAACCATGAGAAAGACTTGCTTAATCTGACAACAGGCAGTACATTACCAACGATCTCGCGCTGTTTTTAAGTTAGAACAAAAATTCATATAGCTACCTCTAGAAAGCGCAACAAGTAAGCAGAAAGAATAAGAGTCTTATATGAATCATTTACACATACAATTACGGAAGCCTACTCAGACTTGGTTACAAGATCATGGCTGCTGTTAACAAATGCTTTTTTTGAGATAATTGTTCATTTTCCTTGATTTTTCATTTTGTGCCTAATATTCATTTATTCTTGCATCATGGAAATGGGACCCACAATATAACAAATGAAAAAAGAACAAAATCCACAAAAAACAATGGAGCCTATATGCTTTATTATATGAAAAAAGCAGACATCAGAATTTATGAACTACTCTGTTTGATGACAGAAAGTGTATCAAGCAGGATATTTAAGATGCTAAATATTAAACAATATAGATTCAGCTTACCAACATGGCAGCCTAGCATTTGGGCTTAGAAATTGGACCAGATCCAATCTAATTAAGCATACCATGGTCCATGGGAAGGATCACCATAAGTATTTAAGGTCTATGTACTCATACCTCTTAGGCCTGCAAAATCAAGTGCACGAGAAAAGACTAACGACGATTGAAGATTTTAATAGTGGAATATTATGTGTCACTAGTTACCATGGATACTAACAGATTATACAAAATAGATTATAGTGTCATTTATATATATATTTGAATATTTCTCCACTCTGATGTTAACTCATGACAACAGAGTTTGTTGAACCCATGCTACTCGGCCATTATATTACAGCAAGCTAATGTCACATGCTATAGCAGGGTGCCCAGACTTATAGAAGTTGACAAGCCAGCTAAGACGGCACACATAGATCATACACAATGACGAATATATCCTTTCTCAAGACGATTATTTGGTGGGATCCTTCCCAAACCTCATCATAGCATGAGTTGCTAACATGGAAGCCCTTCGAGTCATTTCCATGATTTGTCCAAATAGTGGCACCTTAGAAGTCTCTCTATCCCATAGTGGCTTCTTGTTCCACCTGTAAACATTCGCTAAAAAGAGTCAATTCGATGGCTGAATATGAGGTTTCTTCAAACATAACTACAAAAAAAAGCTTGGAGAAATTGAGAGGATGTGAGTTACTAATGTTAAAAGTTCCATAAAGTTGTCCATCAATTAAATAAAATTTACTGATCTTGATGAGATGTCGTGGCATGGAGATCCAGTGAAGAGGGTTGTGGTGGTGGCTGGATAGGTGAGTGTGAGGTTCACGGTGAGGGTTGGTTAGAAGAAAGAGATGCATAGTTTCTTTTTTCTTAATGTGTTAATCGTTTTACGTTCTTTCCATTTACTCAGCGACTCGTTTATTTGTTCGGTACAGCACTTGCTTCTGGATAGGGGATGGTTTTAGCAAAGCTCCATACTCGTGTTTCCAAATTCATATCACACAAAGTTATTAACCAAAGTTTTCAATTCAAATTAAACCACCACACCACACTATTCTCAATGTGATAAACACCAAGAATGAACGCATCAACCTTCAATGTATTAGACCCTCTACCAGATATTCTACAAAACAGTAACAGCATAGCTTTAATGCTTCTATATTACCCAAACTACATGAGAGTTTCAAAATATCAAGCAAATGGCATCGTTTTCAACTTTTTGAGTGAAAGTGTCTATAAACAAGCCATCTATCAGAAGAGGGTATGACCAGAAAGGGTTGTCATAGTTGCTGTTCTTATCAAGTAGCATTTAGCTCCTATAATCTAGTTAAATCTACCTGATGTGTGTATATATATATATATATATATAAAATAGAAGAAGGATCCTGTGAGAATAGGAGTTAAGGTGAGAAGTGTAAGAAGGGATTTGGACCATTGATCACTTTTTATTAGTTTTGATCTAATGGCTCAGATCACGTCTCAAATTGCCCATGAATTAGCTTAGAAGGGTATTTTAAATGATCTTTAATTAGGATTGATCCAAGGGTGGAGATCTCTTCTTACCCTTCTCATGATAACTACTATTCAATCCAGAGACCGTCCTCCCTATCGCCCGCCCAATGCTTACTATCGAAATTGGTTCGTCATCATCTTTCTCAGAGTCTGAGCCTGACACCTCACCCTCCCCCCCCTCTCTATATACATATAATATATATATATATATATATATATATATATATATATATACACATGATTGCTAGAACTATCTCATTCCTATTTGAAGAATTCAAAAAGTTGGACACTAGTTTATCGCAGGATCAAAGACCTAAGAAATAGAACTCAAAAATCCATGATACCCAAAAAAGAGCATCCATATATGCTCTTTGAACATCTATGGAAAAACAAAGCTAATGGGAATATGTAATGTTAACAAATGGTAAAGCATTGTCAGGTAAGTTCCGACCCACATGAAAGGCTAATGCATTGTCTGTCCCATAATGGGTCCCCGGAACCCACAAACCATTCCGACTGGCGGTCAGATTATTCATGATACTGCTTGTCAAAGATTCCTAGTGTTAGTTTCAATTTTTTACAGATGGCATAGCCTTAAAATTAAGGGAAAGACTCAAACGAGGAAAGGCTTACGGTCGTAAGATCATGTATGGGGGCTGACGCCTTCCCAGTGCTCTCAAAGGGTTGAAGGGAGATAGTGCATTATGTTGCTACTTTTCGTGAAAAAAATACCAATTGAAGTGGAGGGTTTTTCCAAACAACAAGGGTCCCTTCCATGCCTCATTTCATAGGGAACCTCAGAGTGGCTCTACCATTAGTATGGAACATTTTCTTTTCCAAGTTAAATCCCCTAGTATATGAAATTGTTATGTAGAGAATAATTTAGTGCATAGTGTATGAAACGAGAATGTAAAGGAACTACTTACAGAAATTATGCTTACCAATCTTCATGACGAACGACCTTCCCATTCTCTACATAGAGCTTGATGAGTGATATCATATCAATATCCTTCCCCATGAACTTGTAGTATTGCTTGTTGTCAATGACTATCTATTATAATTCAAAAGAAGACAAAAATATCAAAAAAAGAAGAGAATACAAAATAAATGTAAAAGGTATTCCAACATATTATTAACCTCTCTCCTTCCATGAGGAAGTATATTTTCTTTGATGCTGTACTCTACAATTCGTGACTCACTAAAGACCTGTAAGTTATGAATGAGAGACGTCATATAATTCCGTGACAGATGAAGTACGTGAGAAGCAGATTGGAAGTAAATTCAAAAGCATGTCCTGTAAACACAAACTGTTTCCTTCGCAAAAAGAAAAATCTTGCACTTAGATAAGTTATAAATCTCTTAGGGCCTGTTTATTAGCAGCTTAACTAGCTTAATGGGATTTGCAGCTTATTCGGTCAGCTATACATGACTGTATGGTGATGGCTTAATGATATAGAAAGCGACTTATTCATATGGGAGAACTTTATGCAGAAAGCCAAATTTTTCCAGACCTGTCACACCCAATTAAAAAACATGTTCCTTCCATCTATGAAAAAACCCTCCTAAACAAAAACCTCCCCACTCTATAAAGACATCAATCTACACAAACAACTTTATCTATACAGGAGTTAATGGAAAACCAGCCAAACTGCCCCTAAGGATTGGCATAATTTGGAACACTTTAAATTTTTTATTACTCCAATAACTATTTAATATTCCCATCCCATTTAGGGCATGTAAATGGAATACCATAAAGAGATGAGTTGTAAGTTATTGACCTTCGAAAGAGAATAAAAGGCTGACTTGATTTGATTTATCCTGAAATCAGAAAGCGGAGTTTACATGAGTATAACCATAGAGGTAAAAGATGGAGTTTCTGGAACCAATTCTAAGCAATCAGATCACACAATTGTGCTTACCCACGAGCGCACATAAGTGGATCTTCAAAGGATGCATCAGGTGCATAGATTTCAAAATCTCGAGGTAAGGCACGCGATGCATACCTTAAATAAGCGACATTAAAATTACTTAACAAATTGTTGATTTGTGTAAGAGAAACACTTAAGTGAAGAAGAAAGACACACACACACACACACACATATATATATATATATATCACACATAGTACACAAATTCACAGTGCATAGATAACAATGTAGTATGAATTGCTTCAAATTTAATAAAATTTGTAAGCCTGCAATACAAACTAGTGGTATGCCACTCTGTAGTAAGTGGGATATAGTGATCAAAGCTACATATCAATGTTCTTAGTCTGTCGTCACTAAGAAATTTGACTACAGGAGGCACGAATTCGAGATGGACTTGGGAATTCCAACAACATACTTCCAAAGTCAATGCTAAGTCAACACATGCAAAACTCTCGGGAGGCGTTTGGTTCGCAAGATTCCGACAGAATTTGAGTTGACCAAATTCCGTTCAGCCATCTGGTTTACCTATGGAATGAAATTGAATTGAATTCCACACATTCCACCACTCATGGATTTGGTCATTCCATCACAATTGAGAAGAAACTCAATTCCATTCCATCCCATTTTTTCAAAAGACAAAATTATCCCTTTATCTTCCCTACTTAATTTACCCAGACCCATATGGACTTCATCTGAATCACCACCGACCACCACTGTTCTGAACCACCGCCGACAACCGCCGGTCTGAACCTCCCAACCACCACTGATATGAACCACTGTCAACCACCACCGGTCTGAACCAGCATGTCCCACCACCGGTCTGGAAAAGGTATTTTGGTCATTTATCATTTATTCATTCCAATTCCGAAGATATATTCTACCAACCAATCCAAGTGTCATCAGAGACCTTTACTACATTCTACTTTCAATTCAAATATCAATAAAACTTCCTGTTAAGATATCCCAAATATCAATAAAACTTCCTGTTAAGATATCCCAAATATCATTCTACAACTTAAATCATATTCCTAACTTGATAAATAAGAGAATTGCAAATCGAAAGTCGAACAACCGATCAATAAGATATCGAGAAAAAACAAATCAGCAGTAGTAGCAAAAACTCACAGGTTGAGGATATGAGGAAGTATAAGATCGGAAACTTTTTTCGACGGATCGACATCAGAGGCTCCTTTATAACATGTTTCTCCCTGTTGAACCTTTTTTGGCTCTTCGGTATCTTTCACAACAAAATTAAACCCAAAACCATCAGTACCTTCAAAATCGCCCTACGTATTCACTAGAGGAGCTACAATTTGATGTTCGTCACTGAACTTGATGAGAAATAGAATTTAAGAAGATAAAATGCACCTTTAGAGTTAGCTTCCATGGCGGACCGAGGTAAGTTGAGGAAAAATGGATGGCGATGATGAGAGAGAGTAGAAGTTGATCGTAGGAGGAGAGAGAGAAGCATGGAGGAGTAATGAGAGGATCGGAAGGGCGGCACGTGGTGGCGCCATGGACTCATGGCCAAATTGGTTTACGTATTGTTTATTAATTTATATTATTTAAAATGAAATATTATAATTAAATTATAATTTATTAAAGATTTATCTTTGAATTCGTCTAACTAATTACAGATAAACATAATTAAATAAAATATAAATATCTCATTTTAAATATAAAAAATCTAAAATATAATTAAGATAATTATTGAGTTCTAACAAAATACTTAATTATTAAACTAAAAATGAATTAAAGAATTAATACAAAAAAAGAGAAATTTTAAATAGTTAGCTTGGTACTAATATCAAAAAAAAATTATGATATCTTCATTTTTATATTTATTCAAAATTAAAAACATTATCGCTTTCTCAAAATCACATAAAACCGTATTATAACATCGACTAAGAAAAAAATAAATAAAATGAAACATTAAATTGAGATGTATCTCGTTGCATTGTGCAAGTATTGTTCTATAAAATAAATGAGCGTGGAAGTACTGTGATAGCAATTCATCATGGAAGTGTGATAATTAGGTGGTACCAAATCGTTGAACCTAATCGATGTGTTAACTGTGATAAAATTCATGTTACTCCAACAAATTGTGTTAATCGGACATATAAGGTATCAACTTCTCAGTTTGTTATAATTTCCCTTGTTTGATTACTGAGTGTGTTATCAACTATGATAAAGACATTGTGATAATCGTGTGAATCATCATCGTTTAAGACATTGTGTATTGATCCATAATTATTCTCTTATTTTCTTGAATATGTATCATTCTTGTATGAACATCTCTCTCTTTATATATATATATAGACTTGGGATCACGTGAGACCATCTTGTTTTCGTGAGACTAGCTTTTTACACTTGAAACTTCACAACAAAATGCTGTGAAGGTAACCTTCACAGTGTTTTTGCTGTAAAGGTTCAACTTTTTTAAACCTTCACAGTGTTTTTGCTGTGAAGGTTCGACTTTTTTAAACCTTCACAGTGTTTTTGCTGTGAAAGTTCGACTTTTTTAAACCTTCACAGTGTTTTTACTGTGAAGTTTCAAGTGTAAAAATGTGGTCTCACGAAAACAGCCTGGTCTCACGTGAACCCAATGGTATTCGGAAGGGGTTATTCCATTATACCATCCATTTAAAGTAACGAGTAGTTATCCATCTCATAAACCTGGTATCTATATCTTACCCTACCTATTCATTCTCAATAGCAGGTAACGAAACGAGTATCGATAAAAATAAAACATTCATTCTCATGTACAGTACAAGTCTTGAAGCATTTAAAGGAGAAAAACAAAACCCACTTCATCTAACATTTAAGGGTAGTGATTTATCCCGACTCGAACGGGGGCTAAAACGGGTCCCGGGTAGATTTAAACTAGGGTTAGGGACAAGGCCGAGTATTGTACCCCCGACCCGCCCCATAGCCGGTGTATAATTTTATTAATATATTTTATATAATTTATATATATATATATATATATTATTTATTTTCTAAAATTAGGTCTTGAACGGGGACGAGAATCAGAGTTTGATCAGAAAATAAACCAAAGACGGGATGTTAATCCCCGTACCCACCGGGAACCGGGGTCGGGGATTAGAAAACCCGCCCCATCCCCGCCCCGTTGCCATGCCTACTAGTAACATCTTCTACTCAGACCAGCTGCAACTCCAACTATATCGAAATAAGGCATTCACTCTTCTATAAAGATCATTTTTAAATCGATCTGTGTATCGATTAATAATTATTACAACCGTACATCACGAATACACGGATTTGACTTTTGTGTTGACTTTCTCGGAGTAACTATGATAGCGTTTAATAACAAAAAAAAACACTCGTAGTTCAACTTCCTTAGAATCTATACAAAATTACAAAAAGAAAAAAGGAATCTCTCGCAACGACATTAACTAAGCAAACATTCGACTAGATACAAACACATACGATGAAAAATTGCATACGTACGGTCTTGTGCCCGTGCACACGCTTTATTTTCTAAGTCTTACCCTCGAAAAATTCGCCAAGCATCCGATCAAGATCATCTGCCGAATACCTTATGTACTTGTGAGGAGTCTTCCCATTTTCGACCAATACCCTGTAACCAATGACACAAAACAACGTTACAATTTCTTTTGGGTTGAGGTTAATTCTCCAACACGAACCTAAAAATTCGAATTCTTGACCTCGAATTGCGCCAAGGTTAGCGGGCTCACTCGAGCCGCACCAGAAAGATAAAGAAACCTACCAAAGGGTTTTTGCTTTAGCGGTATCGTAGTCCTTGGCCACTTAGGAGGTCAGGGGTTCAAACCTCACCAAAGGTGAGGAGGGTGTGTGAGTTTATTTATTGCATTTATCGTATATAATTATATACTTAAAATGAGTTTTCAATTACGAGCAGGACCTTTTACAAAAACATTTAGCTCAATGAACCTTCATCTGAACATTTTACCTCGTTCGGAGAGTTATATAGCTAAATGACCTCCTCATAGATGTTATTTATATCTTAGAGTAGATTACAATTTTTGTCCCTATGGTTTGTTAATAATTTCTATTTCCGTCCCTGTGGTTTAGAAATTTCTATTTTCGTCCCTATGGTTTGCAATTTATTGCTATTTTCGTCCCTAGACTAATTCCTACCTTTAAAGTACAAGGGACCAAAACAGTAAAGAACTGCAAACCACAGGGACTGAAATAATAATAAATTGTAAATCATAAGGACAGAAACAACAATGAAATCCAAACCATATGAACATAAACCAAAGGGACAAAAATGGCAATTTTTAACAAAACATAGGGATGAAAACCGTAATTTACTCTTAAATCAAAGACCTTCCGACAAGTTTCTAGAGTATAAGAAAGTGACATTTTCAAATCTGTCAAAAGGTCATGAATTTAAAGGTTACTAAACCAAAGGTTCCCCGGTTTAAAATGAGCATGTTCCCATATAAATTTTATAAATACGTTAGAGGGTCATTTTGCAAAACCAACTTCCGGAGAAGGTCATTGAGCTAAATAGCCGAAACTGAACCAATACAGGCGGGCGGGCTCACACGAGCCACCAAGCCGGCTTGAGCCCATGTGATCATGCCTATAGTTTAAGCCCGTTAAGTTATCAGAGCATCGTACCCAAAACGTTTGATGAACGATCTGTATGCAGGCAACAAGACTTCGGCAACCGCAAGTCTCAACGATTCCCGAAGCTCCGAGTCAGGAACGGTCCACTGAGATTGTCGTTGATGAAGCTCCTCGAATTGAAGATTGAAAATCTTTAACCTAATACCACAACATTTTGGTTTCGATCAGATGAACATTTTGATGTTTTTGAAGTTGTAATCAAAAGGGTAGTGCCGAAAAACAAACCTGTCTTTCACAAGAGCTCGGGAAGCCCCGCTACTATTTCCTCCATCACCACCAGCAGAACCACCGCCGCCTGATGAAGTCAAGCCTTGAATCGATAGACACTGTAGGATCTATTGGAGGAAAAACAGACGCGTTTTCAAATAATGTCATATAGAAAGACTAATATAACGTTTTATTTCAAAATTGTCCCAAACAACTTGTTAGGACGGCCAAAAGCGTTCTATCAACTTATTGTAACACTTTTACATAGGATGCACAACTGTTAGGTAATTAGCATTCCAAACCATTGTGCTTAGCGTATGATACCCAAACCACCACATACTTCTAAAAACGCAAAAAGACAAACAATTTCAGCTATATTTTGGTTTATTTAGGGTGCGTTTGGTACACTGGGCGGGACAGAACATGGATATTGTTCCACGTTTGGCACGACTTTTATGTGGAACAGACGTAAACAGAGTGGAACAAAGTGACCCTATGGAACAAGGTGGAACAGGCCTATATTTTCCAATATAACCTCAAATAAAACCTAATTCTCTTCTAAAACATCAAATATGCAATCCTCTTTACATTTTATTCATTCTTTAAATTTTTAATTATTGTATTTTATGCTCTTTAAACTTTCACTTTATCGTCCTCAAAATATTATTTTTATACGGTTTCTATATTTTGGTTAACTTTATATAATTTATTATATATTAATTATAATAAAATAATGTATAAAATGTATAAAATAAAATTTGAAAACTAAATGAACTTTTTTATTTTTGTCATTTTAATCGTCTTGACGAAAACTTTCTAACGATGTATTTTTTGTAATAAAAATATTTATTTTATTATAATTTAATATATTACATAAATTAATCAAAATATATAAAAGACAAACAACTCATTAGGGGGAAATTGGTCATTTCATCTGTTTTGTCTTGTCCAGTTTTGTCTTACCAAACCTTAAACAACTATTCTACCTATGTAACAACCCAAAGCCTAGCTAGCTGGCCCAGAAACCTCCAAATCAACTTGAAACTGTAATAGAAGTTACTGATAGCCCACAACCTTGAGCTTATAAGCTCACAATTCCATTTTTTCTCTCATATGTGGGGGAGTTGTTACAAGCTCCCCCACTTAAATCCTAACAAAAAGTACCCTCTCTTAAGTAGGCCWGCTTTAGGTTATCCGGAAGGAATGGAATGACTAATGTGATGTGAAACCTCCACAAAGAAAAAGCTCCTTGGACTTCCCTATCCGTATGGCCGGCCAATCCGTGACAACCCCACAACAAAGAGTGAAATGCCAAGCCCTTTTTGATGCCGAAGGCAGGGCTAGTGACTGGAGTGAAGTCGTAAAAAGATAGCCGTACTGGAAGGTGCGGCTGGATCACCTCCTTTTCAGGGAGAGCTAAGTCGAATAGGAGGATTACGATGACCATAGCTCTAGGTAAATTTACCTAACGTCCTCGTCAAGCCTTCCCAACATCCTCTCTTTGTTCATCGGTAATGTGGGATTTGCCTAAGATGTTAAGAACTTCCCCTCAGGGACTCATCATCCTCAATGAGGTTTGTCCACACCATCCTGATGGTACAAGGGTTGGCTCTCATACCATTTGTAATGCCCCAAGCCCAAAGCAACAGGCTGACGCAATAACTTTTCAAATCCAACTTAAAACCATGGTGGAAGTTATTGGTAGCCCACAACTTTGAGTTTATAAGAAACTCACAAATCTACTTTCCTATCCATGTGGGACGGGTTGTTACGGTTTCTCTATTTTCTACCAACTTAAGTTTTCTTTTTGCATTCCTGATAGTATTTTGCTTCTTCAGAAACAAAGTGACAAGTAACAATAGTTTGAAATGTTCGCCAATAGATTTACTTAACATACCTTTGTCCATGCGTTTCTTTTATATTGATTGGCATGTTGTTGTACAATCCTTCTATGTCGTTGCACCCAATCATCCCCTAACAAATCCTTCGCTTCAGACCTAACACCAAAAATAAATTTCAAAATAATAATAAAAATCAATCTGGAAACCAAACCAAACAAACCCAATATATATCACACCCGGAGGCATTCGGGAGGATAAAAAGTACGCATACCTTACCCATGTCTCAAGAGACAAAGAGGTCGTTTCCGAGAAGACCCCCCCCCCCCAAGAGGCATACCTAGAAATTTTTTCAAGTGGTGGCATCATTTGACTAACAAAAAGAAGCTATGCCTATTTTCTTAAAATCATCGTTACTGTTGGTTAGTTCCTTGCTTTTTGTATGTGAGGTCCTATGTTCGAGTCTTTTATCCCGAAAAAATTCAGAAACATAATAAACCTGCATTTAAAAGCTAAAAACTAAGAAAATGATACAAATGGGAATCGAACCTGCGCCTCAAAAGGGAGAAAAGACCATGCAAACCAACTTTTTCAGAGAAACTTGTGTTATATTGTAGTTTCAAGAAATATACAGTTGCACCCAAGAAAATAATATTGTGGCACCATTCACAACCCTAAAAAAATTTACACTACTACAGAAGAACAAAGTGGTGCCCTATGCCACCGTATGCACCATAGTGGGTCCCGGGGGGGGGGGGGTGCAGAAAAGGTTTACCAAATTCAACAAGTTATGGTTTAGATATCAAACCTGCGAACAGATCTGACCATATAATGAATATTGTTCATAAGGAACAAGTTGGTCAATGCGGGATCTTTATACTGCTTTGACTTCCCTTCCAAATTGGTTTGAAGGGCTTGCATAATTCGCATCGTCACAGATGCCAGCTGAGAGTTCGAGTCGTCTCCTCTTTCAAACTCTTGGAACAATTGCTTCAATGTTGATTGATAGCTGAAGACACGTTTAGAAAATGTAACTTGTGAGCGATTACTTTGCATTTTTGCAAGTTTAGGCTTCCAAAGAAACGTAATTTTTTGTAAAAGATGCAACGTCTATTGCTTTTGATTATGCTACAACAACCTAAAACAAAAATCTTCTCTATCTATACAGACAGATTAATCCACACAGACAGCTTTATCCATACAGGACTTGATGGAATACCAACCAAACAGCCCCTTTAGGCCATGTTTGGCATTCATAAGCTAGCTTATTTTTTTAGCTTATCGAAAAAAGTCTCGTTTGGTTAGTCATAAACTAGCTTATAAGCTAGCTTTCTGAAATGCTACTTCAAGTAGCATTTCATTAAGCTCGAGGTTTTATTTTCCCAATTATGCCCCTTATTTTTTCCCATTAATTTTCCAACATGTCTTTTTATGTAATTTTACATTTCTAGCTTATCAACTAGTTTTTTATACCAAACATATTGGGAGGCTCATTACTTCAACTAGTCCCCATGTATTTTGACACCAAGAAATGAATTCTAGAAATAGAAAAGAATGTTCAACTATTAAATGAAAGCAACTAGCTTATCAGCCAACGGCTAACAACTTATCAGCTAGTTTGCCAAGCATACCCTTAATAGTGCTACTCCCTTCATACGAGCGGGTACATAGTTTTTTGTAAAAATCATTTGACTATTAGTCAAACACTTAAACACCCTCCGTAAGGGAAATCTTGTGGCAAAGAACAAAAATGCAATTCCAACTTCGAAATGAAAACATAATTATTTCTATGGAAATAAATAAAATATGAGGAATTCTTTAGTTAACTTACTCAAACAAGAATTTCACATAGTTGATCACATAGCTTGTGAGAGGATGAACAGTCCCGTCTGCCACGGCCGTTCTTGTTGCATCTTTTTCAACCGCTTCTTCGAAATCTCCAAACGTCTCTTTTGCTGTTTGTGCAAGTCGCTTCGTCAAACCTAATGCAGCTTCTCTAATTTCTTTGCAAGCTTTACCACTGAAAAGTGTTTCAATCTGCAAATAATCTGGCTTATAAGTATAAATTTCTTCATGAAAATCATCCAAAAAGTTCAAGGAGAACTAGCACTGATGGGACCCGGAGAACGTAATCGTAAAATGGTCAAAACATATAAACCTTAGGCATAGTGTTTAAAGAAAGGTAAAAGTCTAAAAAAACCCAATGGACTTTAGTGTTTGGAATGATTAAGTCCTTGGACAATTTTTTGAAACAAATAAGTCCTTGGACATTCCAAAACCTGTTAAATAACTCCTTGGACTTCTAAAACCTGTTAGATACATCCTTATGACCTATAAAGTGAATGTTTGACTACTAATCAAATATTTAAACCACCAATAAATCGCAATAAAATCTGATAGTCTTGTGGACCAAAGAGTAATCTTGCTATTTTGTAACAACTACTAATGGGCAAAGTTGTATTTTGATTGAAATCTTATGAAAATTACAAAAATGTTGCATTAGTTTTGAAACATCTTGCAAAGGACATCGTTGCATATATTTTGGGACGTTTGGAGCAATTTTGTTTAAAACATCTAGAAAAATACCATTTGAAACTAGAATTACGTCCATTTGTTGGTTTGTGCGTCTATATATATAGAGTTAGGTTCGGGGAAAACCCCCAAAACAATGAAAAATTGATAAACACCCTAATAACCATTCATTTGTATGGTATGCACATGTGCATACAAGGAATTGGAGATGTTTCCTGGTTTCTATGCACGTGTGCATGTTATGCACATGTGCGTACCGAACAAATTATTTGTATGCACATGTGCGTACCGTACAGATGAATGGTCATTAGTAGGTTCCTCAGTTTTTCATATTTTTGTGCCCTTGAATTTGACTCTATATATATAGACTTGCAATACAAATGGAAGAAACACATAAAGATGTGTGTTTCAAGTAGTCTTGCAATCTCCAAAAAAAGGAGATATAGTATCAAACCAAAATTATCCGCTATATCCCATTCGGAAAGTAGGATCTGGGAGGCAAGGATGCATGCAGACCTTACATCTACCTAGGGTAGAGAGGCCGCAAATATTAATGTGGTTATCAATATTACCAATTTATCAACTACATCTTTCAATTTGCATCTTACGACAAAAAAATTAAAAAAACACGTGAGCATTGATAGAGAACATATATATACCTCAGAGTGAAGCTCGCGCATAATCTCGTACATGTCGAGAAGCACAAATAACTTCTCTGGTGATCTCTTGCTTTTGGCAATTGCATCTCCAAAACTAAGTAGCATGGCGACGCTGCCTCTTGTAACCTCGGCAAAACATTGATCCTTAAGGGACTCAATGCCTTCAAACATTTGATCGCAAACTTTTCTTTCTGCAGCAAACAACAATTTTACCTGTTTGACACAATTAACAACTTCCTCAAGTAATTTTCAACAAAAATATAAAATGTTTGGTTATTCATCGAAATCAAAAATACCCACCAGGACAAATAAAGGAATTCATCAATTTATTTGCATAACAAGCAAGTATTCCTTTCGTCCCAAAATAAATGTCCACAATGAAAAAGGCACATAGTTTTAGAGATGTCATATTTATTAAACTTTTTAGTTAACTAAATGACAAGTTTACCCTTAATAGAAGGTATAATCGGAAAGTAGGCCCTTACTTTTGAAAGTGGACACTTATTTTGGAACAAACTAAATAGATATTTGGACACTTATTTGGGGAAGGAGGGAGTAATTCAGAATCTATCCAAATAAGGAAATGTTGCAACTTTTATGGAAAATTACTCAATGAACTTACTGCAATGCGCATAAAATGAATCCAAGTCCCAATCTTGAGTTCCAAGACCTCCCATTGTATCTTTTGGACATCATCTTTGCTAAGCTTCTCCACTCCCAATTGGTGAAGGCTTTCTTGCAGAACCTGAGATCGGGTATCCCTAACGACAAGAACATGTGCAGATATATCACTTTGAAAGAACCAGGGGGGGGGGGGGACATGTAATATTGTTCATTTTTTGTTGTATTCCGATGAAAAATATGTTATGATCATCAAACACACACACAATAATACTTGCATGAAAGAAAAAAAAATCAGACACGTAACTTTACATGCTTCAACAAATTGTTTAAATTCATGGTTATTGCTAAGATCTTTATTTTATTTTATGAGTAAGGGTGGCGCCATTTATGAGTAAATTTCAGACAGAAAACAGATAATACATGATATTTGTCTTATTCTCACTTGCAACTCATTGAATAAATTGGATCGGCGAACTTGTGCTTGGTTTAGTGTCTAAACTAGACCCCAAATCCAGCAAAAATGGGTGTTTCCTTCTCAATTTATCTCATCTCTAAAAGAAGTCAAATAAATCAATACGATCACTTCATAATGACCACCAATAAAGAGTCTTTTTACCAATAAAGACAGTCTTTTTACCTGTAAATAATGACCACCAACAAAATGGGTGTTTCAAAAAATACCAAAAAAGATAGTCTTTTTACCTGTAAATAATCAAGCATTGTTGTGCATGACCAGCTTGCACCATGTGCTGAGCTAAATCATGAAGCAAGGGCAGTACCCGAGGTGGTATGAGGACTGGAGGATTGTAAACAGCATTTTCTGCAGTGATGTGATCGGTATGACTATTGGAAGGATTTTTGCCACTTGCTTCAGGTGACCCAGATGATGGCCGTAGGGAATTGGGGAGGCACTCATATAGCCGATCAGGTTCCACAGGTTTGCTGAAAGAATTCGTTAAATGAATCAAGTAATTCAATAAATTATGCAGGTGTATCAGCTTTTCTCAACATTGAAGCAATCTTTCAGTCCTTTCTTAGTAATGGTATAATTGAAACAATGAAATTATGAAATTGGTCATTAAGAAAGTAATTGTATCAAAAAATTTAATTATTATATGTTTAAATAATCTACAAATATCGCATTTATATATATTTAAATAGAGTGAGGTTAGGTAGGAACTCCCAAAAAAATGAAAAAATGAGGAACACCTTAATAACAGTTCGTCTGTATGATATGCACATGTGCATACAAGTAATTGAAGATGTTTCTTGGTTTCTATAAACGTGTGCATGCTGGAAAAATTACTTACAAATTACTTGTATGCACATGTGCATCCTGTACAAATGAATGGTTACTAGGGTGTTCCTCGGTTTTTCATTTTTTTGCTGTTTTCCCCTGAACCCGACCCTATTTAATAAAACTACTTATGTGTTCACTTAATCTCGTATTAGAAGATCAAGAGCTAGGTTACTCAGCAGTGTAGCTCCACTTAACACCTTCTAAGGCCGTTCATCGGGTTTGGTTTTCTAGGCCTTCTAAGGTTATGTTTGGCAAATTATAAAAGCTAGCGGCCTGTTAACCGATAAACCAGTCATGTCTTGTAAAAACTAACCGATAAGCTAGATTGGAAATATAAAGGGCATAATTGGAAAAAGGTGGAAAAAAAACCGTTGAAGCTTATTGAAACGCTACTTGAAGTAGCGTTTCGTTTTAAAAAGGCAGCTTATAGCTAAGCAAAGGATTCTTTTTCAATAAGCCTAAAGAATAAGCTAGCTTATGGTTGCCAAACATGGCAATAGAAAATAAAATAAATACACATGTAAAGATCACGATAAAAAATGTTTTAGAATATTGAAAACGAGCCTGTAAGATGATAAGAGCTGTTTAAATTCATGTTCCAGTTTGGAGATAGCTTTGGAAAGCAAATTATTTGCATGGCTGACCACCCCATCACTACTCTTGAAGCTTTTATTGTTGGTGAAAAAACGAATATTGCTTCTTAGCTGCTCAATAGAATCAAGATAGCCTTCAAGATCCTCATGTGGACCTCTAAGTATTTTAGCCTCCGCCTGCATATTGGACACATATATACTCAAATCAATGGATAAATTACAATCCATTCATCCCATAAAAGTTGCAAGTAGAAGTTACGTATTGGCCAATAATGACCCTTAGAAGTGAATTGACGATATTGATTTGGAACCACAAGATGCTCCTATTTGCCTTAATTGACGGCAGCGGAGGTCCCAGGATTTTTGCTGAGTGGGTGCACCTTTAAGGTGGATCAAAGGCCTACAAAGGCATCCAATATCTTCTTAGCTGAATTCCACATTTCGAGGGATTTTTTAAATTTTTTGGTTGATTTCAAGAGACTTTTTGGTTTTGGTTGATTTCGAGGGACTTTTTTTTTCAGGTTTTTGGTTTATGTCCCTTGTATTTCTACTATCTCAGAGCACCCCTCAAAGTTCAGCTTGTGCAACTTTCATACCCTAAAAAAATTCTACTTGCAAATATCAGTTGAGCAGGTGTACGGGACCCTGTTGGGACTTCATAGATCCGCCCCTATTGACGGGTGTTTTTGATATTTGATGAACAGATAAACATTTTACTTAAACTATGTGTCAAGTCCGATAGGAAATGCCAAAACATATATCATAGAAAGAAGCATCATCTATCGTTGAAAGATAACAAAGATGAAACACTTTATATATTGGGTGCTTTTGGTGTCTTTCTATGAGCTTTTATTATTTTTATAATGAAAAATACTCATTGGATAGGTTAGAAGAATTTGTGTTGATTAACCACTAGTTCGCTCAAGAACACTACTTCCATGTCAGTGGCGGACCAGGATTTTTGCCGAGTGGGTGCACCTTTAAAGTGGATCAAATCAAAGGCCTGCAAAGTCGCCCAATGTATTTTTAGCCGAATTCCACCATTTCGAGGGATTTTTTAAGTTTTTTGGTTGATTTCGAGGGAGTTTGTCGATTTGTTTTGTTTGTTCAAGAGGACTTTTTCAGTTTTTTGGTTGATGTCCCTTGTATTTTCTAATATCCCGGAGCACCCCTCAAAGTTTAGCATGTGCACCTTCCATATCCCAAAAAAAATTCTACTTGCGAAAATCGGTTGAGCGGATGTATGGAACCCGCTGGGGCCTTCATAGATCCCCCCCTATCTATGTCCTATAATATTACGACTTTTAAATATAATGCATACCTAATGTGATGCATAATTTTACATGGAGATTGAAAAAAATCTTATAGAGGATAGAAAATGATTACAAATGAAGGAAGATGGCAAAGTAAATTGAATTTTGCTGACACATTCACCATTAGTTTACAGAAGTAACACCATGATAGACGATATAAAATTATTGCAAATGATTGCATAAAAAACCAAACGTGAATTGCAAATTGAAGTTCCACAATCTCATTTATTTATTGGTTGGTTTCCCGGGTCATTTCGGAAAATATTTATTCTATCACTGATTCTCTATTGGGAGATATGTCAAGCATCTCTTCTTAGTTTCATAATCCCTCCATCCCAAAATAAGTGTCCATAACTCAATATTTCTATTTTAGTATGTCCCAAAATAAGTGTCCACTTTCAAAATCAAGTGCCTAATTTCCAATTCTACCTTTAATTATGAGATAGAGAAATTCATTACTTCCTCTATTATTAAGGATAAAATTGTCTTTTAGTTGATTAAAAAGTGTAATAATCACACATTTCAAAAACTTTCTGCCCTTTTCATCATAGATATTTATTTTGGGATGAAGGGAGTACTATTTAGCAATGCCTTTGACACATGGAATTCTTGGAAACCTAACAAATAGCAAAAGTTGGACTTGAGAACGCAGCATGTCCGTCACAAAGGAGTAAGAAAACCATGAAAAATGTGATAATCTATGGAAGAACTACCTCGTAAAAGATCATGAATAATGAGTAGTTAACAGAAACCAACCTCGCGAGAAAGATCGAATCTGTCCAAGATAACATTAGCAGCCTTCAAAGTCTTGTCAATGTTCTCATGAGCTCTGCGTATAGCATGTGTTCTTATCTACAAGGGGGAAGAATGCGACATAAGACTAGTTGTATCCAAAACTTATCCAAAAAAATATCACAACATGATTACAAATTTCTTTAGTAAACGTTCATATTGAAGGTTCATTAGTTTTCCATTAGGGTGTTCAAATTACGAAACCCTCAACTACAAATCATTCGATCTACATCATTTTGCATCGACGGCTATGGCGACAAGATTGATCTACTGTGAATAATGGCAAAACGGCAAATAAATATAATTTTGTTGTCTATATCATTGAAATCAAACCAAAACTATCATGGGTGTTTCTGACTAATAGTATACAATGAACTTAAAGTAGACCAATGCAGTATTTTTAGCACCGGTTTTCTGAATTCCAATACAAATGACTGCTTCACGTGAAATTGGCCTATAATTTCTCAAAGATCAAACAAATTGGTGGAGTAAGAAATGACAACCCACTTTGGATGACTGATAAACCCCCAAACCAGACATACTCAATATATCCCACTCGGAAGTAGGGATGAGTGGTAAGATGTATGCAAACCTGACATCTATCCAATAGTTGGATAGTAGATCAAAGAACATATCACAACGGGTATATGTTATAAACCCCAAATTACAAAATATGATATCAAAATTATCCCGCAAAGGACAAATGGGTGATTTTCCAAACCATTGTACCTGGTTTTTCACTGTAGACAGACCATCATTTTCTCAAAAAATGCAAGAAAAAACACTAAATTTTACTAGAATTATAGACTTGGGCCAAAAGAAATGTCAAATGCTATTTTCTTTGAACCTGCATCTTCATGATATGTATGAAACTGATTATTCTTGCAAACTATTGTGTGTTTATTTAACATTTACACCAAACCATGGTTAATTTGCACAACCAATATATGTTGTGTATATGTGGTTGTTAAATTCTTGTTCACATTGATGGCATAAAAGGGTTTGTTTACCCAACAGAAAACCAGATCAAGATTCTACTGCTTCCCCTTAAAATTCAAATCCAATGCTTGCTTCATTATGAGTTTCCCTATATTTTCCCATAATTCAAATGAATATCTAAAGTGGGTACTGAATGCTTTCCCCTAAAATTCAAATTCAATGCTTGCTTCAATATGAATACCCCTATATCACATAAAAGGGTTTGTTTAACCAACAGAAAAGCATATCAAGCTTCTACTGCTTTCCCCTAAAATTCAAATCCAATGCTTTCAGTATTAACTCCCTGTATTTTCTCATAATTCAAACAAATATCTAAAGTGGGTATCGAATGCTTCCCCTAAAATTCAAATTCAATGCTTGCTTCACTATGAATTCCCCATTATTTCCTCATAATTGGATCCTAAGTGGGTATTTAGTAAACTTGAAAAAAACAGATCAAGAAGTTCGTTTAACCTGGGTGGGACGCATGGCGGTTTCTAGGGCAGAAAGACGGTGGTCAAAAGAACCCAGAATGGAAACCATTTTGTCTGTGATTGATTGACTCTTGTGCAGCGAGTCTCTCATCATCGCCGCTTTATCGCTCAGATTATCCTTCGCCGCCGCTGCTAGAATCGGAACCCCCATATTCCGTTGAAAGAAATTGTGAGAATAATTCTTGATTTTGGGGGTTGAAAGGGTATGAGTGCGTAGCATGTAGAGGTGGTATCATGGCTGTCTGAATAATGGGTGTTGTTGGATTTGGATCTTTCTTACGAAAAGTACATTGATTTGTAGGTCTAAATGGGTCCACCATTGTCAAGTATGTTCTAAGATTGTCCAACCAATTATACTCCAAAATAGAATGTTACAAGACATCTTATATCCTTATTCAATTCCTTATATTTGATGAATAGCCGTCCAGTGCAGTTTATGTGTACCCCGACTAATTCTAGGGTTCTGAAGAAACAACCAAGAAGATCCATAGTAGTCTTGCATGACTCGAAACGATGACCTCGGAGGAGGATTCTCAAACGCCCGACCCTTTTGCACGGATTTAAAATCCCACAAACATCGGATTCTGAAATCTCACAGGGTAGTCGGTATTTTATAGGATTTGTTTATAATAATATTTCAAATACGTTAAAAACACTTGGTTTGTAATAATAAACTAATAAGAAAAGATAAATTAATTGTTTTTATAATTTGTTTGTATTAATTATTTATAAAGAATGGAATTCAAAAACCACAAGGGTGGTGCCTGATTGGTTCGAGCTTGGCTCCAAAGATCAAAAGTATCAGAAGGTTTCAGGTTCAAATCCAAGGAGGATTAAAAATCCTCTTATGGCCACGGAGGTTCAAATGCGGTGACTCCGGGTTATTTACAAAGCAGATGGTCGTCCTAGAATTAGTCGGCTCGCATAGCGGGTTGAATTTCCAAGTTAATAAAAAAAATGGAATTCAAATTGATTCCAAATCCTACAAATCAAATATACCAGATATTTTAAATTATTCCACGAAATCCAAATCTGTCAAACCAAACGGACACTTATTGTTAGTTGAGCTAATACCACAGGGTTGTATTGGAATGGTTATTATGCACAATCTAAGGCTCAATTTTTGTTAATAAAAAAAAAGGTAAATTGCATATAACGATAAGAAAATTTATGTTGAATGTTAAACCAATTGTCATTTGGATCCGACAATATGGGTAGTCTACACACGAATACGCTTAGATCTTCCACCAGATGTTAGTCCAAAAACCTTAGATCTATATGTGTTTTACAAAAAAGAAAAAGGTTTTTTTCCCTGTATTTTCTGAGTGCCTAAATTTTAAAAGATTTAATCAGTTTAGTCTAACACCTTATTTATACAGACGGTCTTTCAGTTGGTCCATAATTCAAATAAGGTTTAGTAATTATCTGTAATAATTATATAATTATCTTAAACTTTAATATAATCATATATACTTACAGATAATACCCCGTAATTATCATGGAAGGAATTATCCGGTACTTCATAGTCAAAACCGCAAAATCTTTACCAAATAAAAGATGAGGGATCACTTATTTACTTCTCCGATATTTACAACTTATCATATATTAAGGTTGGATTGTTTAAATGATTGTAGTCCAACCCGACCCGGGTAGGGATGGACCTAAATGGATACTATTTGTGATAAATCGATGGTCACAAAGGAAAGGGGATTTGTAGATTGAAAGAAATCAATGGTGATTGATAGCCAGCGATGAAGAGAACGAAGCTTTCTGAAAAGAGCTTTAATGGCAATATGTCGATATTCCTTCTTCATCGGTAATCCCCCGTTACAGCAAGTCCTAGCGAATCCCACTTTCTTCCTCCCTCCTAAATCCAACAACTTTATCCAACTGCCACTCACTGTTCCGAATCGCATCCGTACGTCTGTAAACTCTGCTTCTCCGTCGTCATCCATGGAAGCTCCTCCCGCTGGGTACAGAAAAAACGTCGGTATTTGTCTCATCAATTCCTCCAAAAAGGTTAATTTCTTCTCCCTCGTTAATGAAGATCATTATGGCCCTAATTTGTCTTTCTTCTGATTCGATTGAGTTGAGATTAAGTATCGATTTGAATCCTTTCTCAAACACACGGACACACAGTTCACCTATACAGTTTTTGGTTTGATTGGAGTATAAATTTATGCAGATTTTTTCAGCATCAAGGCTCGATATACCAGACTCATGGCAGATGCCTCAGGTACACGGTACACCTAATGAACTAATATTCGGGGTTAATTGCTTTGATTATCTTCAAATGTATAGAAATTCACTTAATTGGTTACAGTTTAACTGATCCATCTACACTATGGGTACTTTGATATTATGTTCTAGTGGAATAATGATATTTAGGTTTTTACCATCACATTTGCCCTTTTTTCCTGTACCTGCTACTATGGTGTTGCTTACAGATATCTAGTTTCTCAAACACATTTGTCTTTCTCTTTTTAGTTGTATTGCTATTGTTTACTCATATCTAGCTGGCATGTCTGTATTTCTCCTTTCACACACTTTTCACTAGCTGGGGGGTCTGTATGGAAACAACCACTCTGTTTTTTCGGGTAGAAGGCACACGAAATTTCAGGGGCCCTGTTCAAATCACACCTTTAACATGCTAAAGAATGGCCTTGCTTGGAAGCAAGACAAGAGAAACCTTCTGTGCATTCCTTTCAGATGCATTATTAAAAGAATTTAGGGCCTGTTTGGTTTGACGGAATGTTTTTGAGGGATTTGGATTTCGTGGAAGGATTTGGAATCTTTGGTGTGTTTGGTTTCTAGGATTTGGAATAGAATCGAATTCCATTCTTCATAAATAATTTATAGAAAATATAAAAATAATTAAATTGTCTTTTTTATTATTACAAAACAAGTGTTCTTAACATATTTTAAAACATTATTACAAACAAATCCTATGAAATCACATGAAATACCAACTACCTTCATTGGATTTCTAAATCTCATGTTTGTGGGATTTCATTTCAGGACTTTCCAATAAACCAAACGCGGGATTGGTATTCAATCCAATTCCAAAACCCACGAAATCCCACAAACCAAACGGGCAAGGGTTTTTATTTGTAATGAGTAATTCTGAATGAGATGTAGGAAACTAGAAGGCTAATGTGAGGGGGAAGTTTGCAAACTTTGAATGATCCTTGTCGACTAGTTTGGCCATGCCTGATGATAACCTGGTCACTGAAAAGAAAATCTTTTTCTATTGGGAGAGGACAGCCCACTGCTCAAAACTCCAGCATTACATACAGGGTCTAGAAAAAGATTTTTCATAGCACGATATGTTAGATTATATGAAGTACCTCATATTGCTCATGAAACAGGGTGGTGTTGATGAAGGTGAAGATCCAAGAGTTGCAGCCATCAGGGAATTAAGAGAAGAAACAGGTGTTACATCGGCAGAAATTCTTATGGAGGTTTGTATCTTACATATCTTTCATTGCATTACAAAGTTTATATTGGTTTTCTGGTTTTCTCCAAATCACTTAAACTAATATATTCTTGAAAGAAGAGAAAGACCTGCCTTAGTGAACTCTTTTTTTTGGCGTTGGTGGTACATAAATCTGGTGCCATTATCTTATAGGGGACTAATCAAATGAGAACTCGGTAGGTTATGATGACCATGAGATCCAATGTGAGCCAATCTTCTAAGATAGTTAATGTTATTTTTAAAAACAAAGTAAAAGGGTAAATTAGTAACTTAATATTCCCATTTTGTATTTAATTAAATTATTTAACATCTCTCTCTCCCCATATTTATCAACTCTCTCACTTTCCATATTCCCATTTTGTACAACCAAAATTAAGATTTGGTGTTGTGAACACGTAAACAATGGGTATCACAGTGTGCATATCGTATGCATCTTGGGTATCACCATGAGGATCATTTGTATGTATTCATTTTTAACAATGGTGATGTTTTTTAGGTACCACATTGTGTATCTTGTGTTCACATGGTGATCATTGGAATAAGGTTCGTTGGGGAGAGGAGAGAGAAATTTTTTGAAATACCTAAAATGCCCTTTGATTTAAATTATAATTCAAAATTATCAAAATTATTAATTTCCTAATTTATCCTTTGATTTGTGGTTGAGATTGGATCTCACGGTTATTACAAATTACCAAGTTCTCCTATGAATGACCCCCTTATATAATATATGTTAATTTTTGCTTGTTTTGGATCGTAATTCGGTTTTCATGGTTTCTGAACCAAGTTCAAAATATACAGGGATGTAAATAAAGAGGCTCATAGTTTTAAGAATATGTAATCATTATACTTTTTAATCTACTAAATGACAATTTTATCCTTAATAAATCATGAATTTCTCCATCTCATAAATAAGGGTAGAATTAGAAAATAGTACATCATTTCATATTTGATGGCATTCTGAGACCCTAATGAGGAAAGACCAATCACCATTCTCATGCCAAATCGCATAAAATGGCATTCAATTCTAACACTCAATTCACATCCGGGATTCATCTCACATCTTCCAATTTGCAAATTATATGCGTTTATCGTTGTGCAGGCTCCACACTGGTTGACATACGATTTTCCTCCACAAGTCAAGGAAAAGCTCAATCGCCAATGGGGTACCGACTGGAAGGGTCAGGCACAAAAGTGGTAAGACAATCAAATTTACATGCTTTCACTTGCAAATAACCAAAAATATCTACTTTTAGGATGTGTTTGGTATGTAGGACACGACAATACAAAAACTTGTTCATGTTGGGCGTGAGTTTAGATTTGGAGGGTCGTTTGGCATCCAAACAGGACAAAACATGACATGACGACAAAACATGACATGACAATTGAGTGTTTGGTAAGATAGGATTGGACAAAACAAGATTAATAAAATAATCAATTTACCCCTTATGAACTGCTTATATTTTTTCTATATGTTGATTAATTTATGTAATTTATTAAATTATAATAAAAAATACTTCTGTAATAAAATATATCAGTAGAAAGTTTTCGGCAAGACGATTAGAATGACACCAAGTTATGAACTTCATTAATTTCCAAATTTTATCCTATACCTTTTGTATATTAATTTTTTGCTTGTAATATTTAATAGATTACATAAATTAACCAAAATATAGAAAACATATAAAAATAAAATTTTGAGGACAGTGAAAGTTTAAAGATGATGAAATACAAAAAATAAAATTTAAAGAACATATAAAATGTAAAGAAGAGATGTATTTGATGTTTTAGAAGAGAATTATGTTTTATTTTGAGGGTAAATCGGTAAAACATAGGCCTGTTCCACCTTGTTCCATAGGGTGGGCCAGTGGGGTGGAACACGCCTGTTTCACTTTGTTCCACTTAAAAATTATGCCAAACATGGAATGGTGATCCCTGTTATGTTATGTTCTGTTCAATCTACCAAACGAACTAGGACATTACTAGGCACGGTCCCACCAAAGTGAGTGGAAGAAAAATTAGGGAGATGGGACATAATTGATAAATTACTAAACTAGTCATGTCAAATTAAAACCCTAAAACCTTCCACAATTCTTTTACCTGTTACCTCACTCTCCACCATCTAGTAGTGTGTAACATCTTTGTCGATATAGCATGAGTAGTCTTATGTAACACCATCTCATATGGCAAAACAGGTTCCTTTTTAAGTTCACCGGAAAAGATGAAGAAATTAACCTATTGGGCGATGGCAGTGAGAAGGCCGAGTTTGGAGAATGGTCTTGGATGTCGCCCGAACAAGTGATTGATCGGGTGGGTGCACCGTTTTCACCACGTATAAACGACAGTCCCCTTTTTATCGCCATTTCATCTGACCGTCATTTTATGTGCAGGCTGTGAATTTCAAGAAACCTGTTTACAAAGAAATCATTAGTGTGTTCTCTTCACATCTTCAGTAAGAATTTGTTGATCTTGCATTTATACTCATATTTGGGGATGGATACTGATTTTTAACATGTTTTTAAGGGTCTTCATGAAAACTACTACTCTACTCTTTGAAACAAATGTCAGAAACGTCTGTGTACATCTCACCTCCAGACGTTGCCTTTAGATAAGACATACTGGGTCCGTTTGTTATGGTTATACTTATTATGGTCAAGGCACAAATTTTTTTTATCAACTTGTGTGGGGATGTGGTTGTTCTGAAGGCTCAAATTACCGTTCAACGAATATTTTGTGAACTGATTGGTGGGGAGTTTGTTTATTTAATAAATGAATGAATATGAATAAGATGTTGGTTCGTTTAAGTTAGTTTAGTTAACTAATCGACACCAAGAATAGTTCTGTTCATTTGTTTACGTTTGTTAAATTAGGTTGCATTGATGCGATGTCGTTTGTACTCAATGTCTATTGAAATATACGGTCAGTTGCATCAAAGTTCAAAACAAATTCAAAATTTGTACAAGGGAAAATTGCATGTAAAAGTAACGTATTTTAAGTTGAATCCTATTTTGGGTAACTTTCTTTTAGAACTTTCATTTTGGTATCTAAGATGTAAAGTTTTAACATTTAAGTATGCTGATGTGGTATCCCGTTAATGTTTCAACAAATAATATTGAGTTGGATATGACATCACTCGCGACATCGGTATGGTAACCGGTTAATGCTTCAACCGGTTACCCGAGTACTCAAATTTTTGAAACTTTATATCTTAGGTATCAAAATGGAAGTTATCCAAAATATGAATAAGTTAAAGTACATTATTTTTTCATGCAATTTACAAAGTTTAAATACACTTGACATTAATAAATCTATATACATACCATCAACTATTTCGTACACATTTGAGAAGTTGTCTTTTTGAGTTTCGACTCAATTTTATATGTGAATCAGTAAACTTATACTTTTTTATAAAATTTATCGAACATACCGTGTATTTGAATGGAAAAACGTATTTTTTCAACTGAATTATTATTGATTGATAAACATGTAAATTTGTAAATGAGTGTCGAGTTTAAACGAGAAGTTCCAAGACACATGTTCTATCATTGATTGATCAACCAACTCGTCCCGTCCTCGTTGAACGTGTTTTATCACATTTAATTTATGAGTAAAATTGATTACCGACAACCCATTCAGCTCCACACACAATCCGCCTCCAAGGACACCAACGTGAGGGGATATTTTCTGACTCACTCAGCAGCCGAGGGTTATAGGAGGCTTGAGATTGAAACGAGAACCTGTCTTGTATTTAGGCAAAGTTATTTCACTACTTTGCCAATTGAGCAAACGTCGAAGACAATTTACTCTGTAATTATATTTGATATTGAAACTTTTTCAAAATTGACCGACTTCTTGCAGGATGAAGCCTTTTGTAAACATATATATATATATATATATATATATATAGAGAGAGAGAGAGAGAGAGAGGGGGGGGTTGGTTATTATACAACCCTTGACATTTGTGCAACCAATACAACCTAATCTCAGCCGTCCATTTCATTTGATTAATATGTGATTTCATAAAAGTTTTGGTTATTTCATAATATAAAGTATTAATCATAATTAATGAACCATATTCATCTTTCATAAATATTCAAATCATAATAAATGAATTCTCATCATTTCCATAAATATCTTAATTTATTGGGTTGCATTGGTTGTACAAATGCGATGAGTTGTATTTGAAACAAACTCTCTCTCTCTCTATCATTCATATATATATATATAAGGGCCCATTCAAGGGAGAACTGATTAGTTTGTGGTAACTGTGAGATCCAATCTCAACCACAAATCAACGGATAAATTAAGAAATTAATAGTTATGGTAGTTTGAGTTAAAATTATAATTAGAAGGCTTTTAGGTATTTTAAAAAAACTCATCTCTCATCTCTCCGACCTCCAATCTCCGGCCTCCGGTGAACATTAATCTGGCAGGTACCAAGTAATCACAAAGATACACAATGTGATACCCATTGTGATATATTGTGATACCAACTATGATACCAACTCAAACCTTAAAAATAAAGATACACAATGTGATACCCATTGTGATATATTGTGATACCAACTATGATACCAACTCAAACCTTAAAAACAAAGATACACAATGTGATACTCATTGTAACACACAATGAGATACCCATTGTGATATACTGTGATACCGATTTCACCGGAGGCCGTAGATTGGAGGTGGGAGAGATTAGTGAGGAGAGAGGAGAGAAGAGTTTTTAAAAAATACCTAATATGCCCTCCATTTATAAATTTAACTCAAACTACCATAATTATTAATTTCCTAATTTATCCGTTGATTTGTGGTTGAGATTGGACCTCACAGTTACCACAAACTAATCAGTTCTCATTTGATTAAGAGAGAGAGAGAGAGAGGCCTAATCAAATGAGAACTGATTAGTTTGTGGTAACTGTAAGGTCCAATATGAGCTAATCATTTTAAATAATTAATATTATTTACTAAAATAAAACAAATGATAAATTAGTAAATTGTGTTGATTATTCAATTTAGTTTAATTATTTTAATATATGCATATATATATATATATATACACACACACACGGATACATAGGGACCAAATCCGGTGGCCTTCTTCAGCACCCACCACCACTCATGTGATCTCCTCTGGTCATCTTGTCTGACCAAGACATTGTCTTCGACGATCAATCACTAAACACCCACATGTGACAGTGGTACCACAGTTGGTATCATAGTGGTACAACAGTTGGTGTCCTAATGGTTCAAAGTTTAGTGGACGTGTTTTGAGTATCACATTGTATGTATTTTAGGTATTACATTGTGTATTTTGGTTGGGTATCACAGGTGTTCGTCGGAGGCCGGAGGTAGGAAAGAGAGGAGAGAGAAAAAAATTTAAAATACCTAAAATGATATTTAATTATAATTTTAAGTCAAATTACCAAAAATATTAGCTTCCTAATTTATCCATTGATTTGTGGTTAATGTTGGATCTCACAATTATCACAAACTAATCAGTTCTCCTTGAATGGACATATATATATATATATATATATAGAGAGAGAGAGAGAGAGAGAGAGAGATGGATTCAAGTGAGACCAACCTGTTTTTGTGAGATCATATTTTTACACTTGAAACTTCACAGTAAAAACATTGTAAATGTTACATTCACAACGTTTTACTGTGAAGTTTCAAGTGTAAAAAATGGGTCTCACCGATCTCAAGAAAACAAACTGGTATATATATATATATATATATATATATATATATTGTTTGTTTGTTTCAAATACAACCCATCACATTTGTATAACTAATGCAACCCAATAAATTGAGATATTTATGGAAATGATGAGAGTTTATTTATTATGATTTGAATATTTATGAAATATGAATATGATTAATTAATTATGATCAATACTTTATATTAGGAAACAATCAAAACTTCTATGAAATCACATATTAATCAAATGAAATGGACGGTTGAGATTGGGTTGTATTGGTTATACAAATGTCAAGGGTTTTATAATAACCAATATATATATATATATATATATATATAAAGTATTTCTTTTGCATTTTATTAATGGAATAATATGTTTTTTTAAAGTAATATTATTTTATTGACTTAAAGTCAAACATAAATCCAGGTGAAAGCGATCCGCAGCGAATCTGTGCGTTTCTTCATCCAGCAGCTCTGCCTTTCATTGATTCCATTTTCTTTTTCATCTGTTCATATATTAAATTCCCGATTTCGATTCAAGGCCTACTCTAGGGTTTTGAAATTTGGAATTTGGATTTGATCTGTTGTAGTCAAGTGTGTATAGTAATGGCGGAAATGACACCAGAAAGGAAAAAGAAGAGAGTGGTGGTGGTTGGTGGCGGCGTTGCTGGATCTCTTCTCTGTAAAACCCTTCTAAACCATAAGCAATTGGATTTTACCCTCATCGATTCGTAAGTTTTTCAATCCTTTCTTCTCTTCCATGCTTTGTTTGATTGATTGAATTTTTTTTATCTTCTCTTGCAATTCGGCTTTTCATTTTCAGTAGTAAATTAATTGGAAATTTACTTAAGATCATTTCATGTTCTTCATCCCATTACGTGTTTGTCTCTCTCTCCATTAATATGCTACAGTTGTTGCCTTTGCGAAGGTTAGAAGTTTCAATATCATATGTTAATACACTACTTTGGGTGTGATTAAACGTCCATGTGTTATCAATCCAACATGTATATGATTAAGCTTATGTATCATGCGTGTAATCATATATATATATATATATATATATATATATATATATACATATGATTAAGCTGTACAGGAGGTACTGTAATGGATTAGTGATGTGTTGGGTTTGCTAGGACAAATAGGCAATAAAACCAATTTGTTTTCATGATACTTGAAATTTGAAGAGAAGAATAGAGAAGAGGAGGAGCTTTTAGAGCTTTTTGTGTGGTGTATTTTCTAAAGAAAGTTTGAAACCCTACGTAGGCTCTCAATAAAAAACCAAATTGTCAATAGTTAGAGATTTAAATCTCTAATTGCTCTGTAATTGATTGTTTTATGCGTAGAATGTTAAATCTACCCCTGGTTCGAGTCCAAGCGCTAGCATCCTGTGGCCAGGCGTAGTCATAGACGGCTGCAATTTGCCAGGATATATTCTAGGAAATTGCCTAGGTGAACCTTTAAAAATAAAGAACCGACCTGATCATGGTGAGGCTTCTCATGCTCCCATGCAATGCGGTGAAGTGCACCTCAAAATGCCAATGAGTTGGCTTTAGAATTTTGCTGCAGTCGGGGACTCAAACCATGTCTCCACAAGCACAATAGTGATTCGAKTTTTGATTGCCATGACTTATAAGTYCAATCAATTTGATTTCTCACACATATGTGGGATACGTGAATTTTCTTTACTACACCAAATATGCCTTGTTTGACATCCACTTTGAGATAAATAATCACATATTTAACTTGCTTATCTTTTGCCACAAATATATACTTATTCTCAAGGAGTCAAGGACCACAGGAGTTAACCAGTTTGGCCTCCTAGTTTTGTAAGTAATGGACAAAATTGTCTTTGTGCCAAAAGGACTAAATAAACAAGTAACCATTAGTGGCCCCTCTTTAATCATTGTAACATGTTAATGCATCATTACCAAGATCTAGTAATGCACTAATGCTATATAATATGACCAGTGCTTAACATCTTGTTATCATATGAAGATATAAAATATAAATCAATTGCAGATTACATGGTGCATGTATATTTGTTCAACATATAGAAAAAATAGCATTTAACACCCAGCCATGACTGAAGAGATCAATTCTGAAAGCTTGTAAAATGTAGGCCGAATTGCTAAGTTGTATGGTATACAACAGTCTCGAATGCTAACAGACCTTTTATGTAAAAATGAGAATGTATAGGCTGGCAGCATCTAAAATTCTATATGGTAGGGAGTAAACCAGGGAGCATGTCAAGAATAGTAATTAAACATGGAGAAAATATAATCCATTTGCAACAAGTTGTTTTGAGTTGGAAACCCAAAGGTTCAAAGGGCAGTAGTGTAAGTGGCTGTTTGGTTGGTTTTCCATCTAGTCCTGTATAGATAACACTGTCAGTGTGGATTAATCTGTCTATTATAGATTGAAAAGTTTTTTTTTTGAGAGAATTTTTCTCATAGATGGAAGGTGCGTGTTTTTCAACTGGGAGAGGCAGGTTTGAAAAAAACTTGGCTTTTTGCATAAAGCATTCTTTAGAAGCTTACTAAATAAGCCACTTTTTGTATCATTAAGCCACTACTAAACAGTCATGTATAGCTGACCAAGTAAACTGTGAGTCCCGTTAAACTCATTACGCGGCTAACAAACAAGCCCTAAATTAGATAMGTTCTGCAAAGTGCTCTATTAGTCCGTCCCTTCTGACTTAAGAACTGCCCTATTTTATTCATTCTCTTATCTCATTGTGGATGATKCTTCCATTCAAGTAATCAATTTGTACATGAATTTTATTCAGGAAAGAGTATTTTRAGGTCAGCTGGGCAAATTTGAGGTCAATGGTCGAACCCGCATTTGCAAAAAGATCCGTGATTAACCACCATGAATATCTTCCTGGGGCAAGTATTATCACATCTGATGCAATTGGGATTGAAGACGACCAAGTGTCAACTATGGAAGGCCGCCTGATTGAATTTGATTATCTTGTTATTGCCACAGGTCACATGGGKACCGGTTACGTGACTAAAGTTGAGAAGCTTAGGCAGTATGAGGCAGGTAATTTTACAACCTTCTGTAGCCTTGCAAAATGCTTAATTTGCTTCATTCATAAACAAAGTTAACAAATACTAGATGTAAACAAAGTTTAATGTCAAGCTGTTAACAAAATCTGTATCAATTTGAATATGAAGTCATAGGTTGACCTTCATAATCATGATTGTTTCTTTTCTGGATTGAGAGAGTTGATTTTTCTAATTTTATAACCATGCACGACAATGATAGAATCTAGCCAATCGCTTTGCCACGTAGACCCATTTTCACCCCCTTTCTGAAACGATATATTCAACTCATATTATACCCATATTCGAGGGATGGTTTTTATTACAATAATTGAAATTATCAAATTGCTTCTCACTAGAGAGTTGATGATTTTTTAGTAAAATTTGCAAGTTCAGACCAAAACTTTAATTTTTTGTCAACATATCATGCCAATTTACTCTGTTGCAAGTATTGCACTTCCACATGTTCAATAGTGAATCATGTTTTTTTACTTATCTTTTAAAAATGAACTATAGTCTCAGGGATAGAGATGTAATGAATACATGTTTTTGAGTTATATCTCAGTAACCGATTCAATGAAGTTGTTGTCTGGACCATTTTTGGATGATATTCTTCATTGGAGAACCCCCAAAGAAGAATGACAAGGGGTGAAAGTTGAAGGTTGAAAAGAGGGTCCAGGGACCATATTTGTAATTCAATCTATCTTTTACTTCCTCTACCAAAACAAATGCAGCATTTTCTTGAGATGTCTTAGAAATAATGCAACTTATCCCTTCTTGCAAGCATTTGATTCAAGACACCTCATTTTTGTCCCATGGCAATCATCACACGATATCATTGATTTTGTTCAACCAGATTTCTATGATTTGTCATTAATAGACAACCATTTCCATTAAACTATGCATCCAGTTAAGCATTTGTTTTTGGAACTAATAATTGTAGCCATGCATTCGTCCTATAAGCATATATATATATATATATATATATATTATGAGAAATTAATTTGTATGTGCTATATACGATCTTGACCTTGCAACTTTTTTCAAGGATTCGAAACCCAGATCACATAAAAAGTATTCCAAAATAAACCACTTTTAATTACTTCTGGATGTCTCCAACAATTTGGTAAAACACCATATGATATGTGCACTTAGTACTTAGGGAGCATTTATTAGCAGCTTAATAGGCTTAATGAGACTCACAACTTATTCGGTCAGCTATATATGATTGTTTGGTAGAGGCTTAATGATATAGAAAGTGACTTATTCAGTAAGCTTGTAGGGGGGAGCTTTATGTAGAAAGCCAAGTTTTTTCCAAACCTACCCCTCCCAATTGAAAAACACGCTTCTTACATCTATGAAAAAACCTTCTCAAACAAAAACCTTCCCAATCTATACAGGCAGATTAATCCTCACAAACAACTTTATCTATACAGGACTTGATGAAAAACCAACCAAACAGCCTCTAATTATATTTATCCAAACCAAACCAAACCAAATGAGCCCTCTGGAGATGGGATGTACAAAGACGTGTCCTCTGCTCTTACCCCAAAAGAATTCGAAGTGAAGAACTTTGACCAATTATATATAGTTAATGTAAATAATGAAGTACTTTTCAAAACTGTAACGATTGCTCGTAAAGTCTTGTTTTAGTTTTTTCTGATAGTGCATCAACTTACAAGCACAATTTCTGTTTGCAGATAACGAAAAGATCAAATCTTCTGAATCAATATTGATAGTTGGAGGGGGCCCTACTGGTGTGGAACTTGCCGGTGAAATTGCTGTTGATTTTCCCACGAAAAAGGTGAAGCTAGTTCACCGTGGTTCAAGATTGCTGGAGTTTATAGGTGAGGCGGCTGGTAAAAAGGCTCTTGATTGGTTAACTGCTAGGAATGTTGAAGTCATCCTAGGTCAATCTGTCGATTTGAGCTCGAGCTCTGATGGTGTTTATCAAACCTCTAGCGGTGAAGATATTGTGGCTGATTGTCACTTTAAATGCACAAGTGATCCAATTGGCTCGTCGTGGCTCCAGGAGACTGTTTTGAAGGATAGTATGGACGATAATGGGCGGTTAATGGTCGATGCAAACTTGAGGGTCAAGGATTTTGAGCATGTCTTTGCAATTGGAGATGTCACTGATATTCCAGTAAGTCTGTCACATTTATGCATTTTCTATGTTTATTACTTTATTTGGCTCAAAAGTAGAGTGAGGTTCAAGGAAAATCCTCCAAAAAAATGAAAATCTGAGGAACACCCTAATAACCATTCATTTGTATGGTATGCATATGTGCACACAAGTAATTTGTCTGGTATGCACATGTGAAAACACATGCACACTTGCATAGAAACCAGGAAACATCTTCAGTTACTTGTATGCACATCTGCATACCGGAGAAATTACTTGTATGCATATGTGCATACAGTGTAAACGAATGATTATTAAGGCGTTCCTCAGTTTTTCATTTTTTGCTGTTTTTCTCTGAACTTGACCCCTCAAAAGTAATATTCATTTTCTCTTATTTGTTATGTATGAATGCACACAAGCTTCTGAGGTCTTAAAACATTCTTACACCTGCATTTTGACTCTAATCCTATGGTAAATTGAAACCTAAGGCATCTTATCAAATTTGTGAAATATAAGCCTCATCAAGTAAACAAGTTTAGGGTCTGTTTGTTAGCAGGTTAATGGGACTCACAACTTATTTGATCAGCTACACATGACTGTTTGGTAGTGGCTTAATAATGTAGAAGGTGGCCTTATTCAATAAGCTTCTGGGAGAGAGCTTTATGCAGAAAGCCAAGTTTTCTCCAAACCTGCCCCTCCCAATTAAAAGCTACTTACATCTATGAAAAAACCCTCCCAAACAAAACCCTTCCCAATCTATAGAGACAAATTAACCACAACTTCTTCCATAGAGAACTTGATGGAAAACCAACCAAACAAGTAAGAAGGTACCACCAAATAAGTTACCTACAAGTCTACTCGTGATTGAGACTTCTTGTCCTATTTCCACTTCTCAAGACAATTCTCGAGATTTTGACATCCATTAAACTGAATACTTCCAATGTGGAGTGAAAATTAACGTAAGCTTCATCTGTTTGTAGTAGGATTTGCTTAGAGAAAATATTATAGCACTTGATGAAATTGTTTAAACCAGTTAGCATCTTCATTTTGTGGGTTGTACTTCTACCCTAGCACATGCAATGGAAACATCCCTGCTTCTTCAGGTGGAACTCTAGGGTTGATATGTGTCGGGAAAATGAAGACGGGGTTGCAATATTATGAGAAAAATTGAAGATAGGTCCACAAAATGAAGAATAGAGGAAAATGGTGTAAACTTCGAATTGTTCAAGTCCAAATTTTGTTTCTTAGCGTTCATAATGCATACAATAATACCTTTTGATACACTAGAAGACACTACAAAGCCCATTTATGTGTGTTACTCCCTCCATCCCAAAAGTAGATAGAATTACGAATAGCATTTCTAAACCATTGTACTCGGCTTGGACATATTAATCAACCACTATACTTTCGGAACTGCAAAAGAAAAACATTGTAGTTGGCAAGAACAAATGGAAATAACCATTGTAATTGGCAATAGCGCACAAAAACAATCATTATTTTTATCAACCTTTTTCCACCTTTTTTCATGTTCTTGCAATATATAATGTACTTCATGCATTTTTGAAGATATGATGTGTGGTTAAGACGTCTATTTCAAGTACAATGGCTACAAACATTATTCACTCAAAAAAATATAATGTGTGGTAAAGGGTTGTTTCCATGAAGATGCCGCTTGTCCCAAGGGGTAGAGAGACTGTCTGTGAAAACCCTAGCTTGTCCCAAGGGGTAGAGAGACTGTCTGTGAAAACCCTAGCTTTCCCCAAGGGGTAGAGAGGTTGTTTCCGTGAAAACCCCAGCTTGCCCCCAGGGCACTGAACTACCATAACTTTCGAAAGTTTGGTTTCAATACATTTGGTTGCAGTACTACTCACTTTGACAGTTCTTGAATTTCTCCGTTCGCCCCTTGGTAGATCTTTGAGTACCATTAATAGTTAATTTGCTTTTCTTATAGTTGTTTGCTACCTTCTTACCGCCTCTTACGAGGCGCTTACCTAGTCAAACATATTCCCGAACCCCTCTTACCGGTCCATGACGTTGACGTGGGAAGCTATGGAAATGACTCTTACTCAATCAGTTATTTATGCCGACCCAGACCGCACTCTTACCCATGGTTCTAAATAACTCATTATGACCTCGTTATGGCACGTTGTGGCATCGAGGCTTAACGCCTTTGGCTCCACTCTAAGGCTTTGCTTTCGTTGTAAAGCGTTATGGTGTATAATGCACGTTATGACGTGTTATTTTGTAAGGCATGTTTTTTTATACTTATTTTAAACATATAATTTAGGGGATAAATGATAATTATGTACAACACCTAAGCCTTAAATAAACATTAAAAGGAAATATAAAACCTCTAAATAGGTAAATCTTTACTCTCATTTCCGTACATGGAGAGTCAGGAATTCGTTGAAGATTGAAATAAGTAGTGAGTAGAGACTCAAAAGATTTAATCCCGATTTTCCACTATTGATATCATTTTCTTATAAGTTCGATTTCCTTTTCAGTTCTATAACCTTATTTGAATTTAAATTTTTCTACGTGATTATTCAAAAACACCAAAACACATCATGGACGCATGTACAAGTGTATGTATGATGGTATATATAGGGTTGGGTTTCGGTGAGAATGGAAGTTACGATGAGAAAGGTGAGAAGAATCTCCACCCTTGGATCAATCCTAATTGAAGTTCAACATTAATGCGGTGAACGAAGATGCACTAGATCAATTCTCGTGATAAGCGTAATTCATGGGGGGGTTGAGATTAAAAGTTACGGTTCTCAATTTAACTTCTATTCTCACACGATCCTTCGTCTGTGTGTGTGTGTATATATATAGATAGAGAGAGAGAGAGACTTGGGATCACATGAGACCAACCTGCTTTTGTGAGACCCGTGAGACCACTTTTTTTACACTTAAAACTTCACAGCAGAACACTGTGAGTTTTTGCTGTAAGGCTTGGATTTTTTTTACTTTCACAGTGTTTTGCTGTGAAGTTTCAAGTGTAAAAAAGTGGTATCACGGGTCTCACAAAAACAACATGGGCTCACGTTAACCCAACCCTATATATATATATATATTATAGGGTTAGGGGAAGACCGGAAAAAGTTGAAAAACTGAGGAACACCCTGGTAACAGTTCATCTGGGCGGAATGCACATGTGCATACAAGTAATCTGTAAGCAATTTGTCCGGAATGCACATGTGCATAACATGTACGTGCATAAAAACCAAGAAACAACTTCAATTACTTATCTACATACATGTGAATACCGACCAAAAAAACACCATGGCCTCGCCATAACTCACAAGGCTTGACCTCGCCGTCATGTCACGCCTCACGTCATTTAGAACTTTGTTTTTACCCAGTTAGCACTTACCTAGTTATGTCGGTAAACGACCCTTCTTGCATCAAGTTTCATTTATATGCCTTTTTTTCTATTTTTGCATTATAAAATGAGGGAGTGTTTGATTGATTCTATAGGAACTGAAACAAGGATACTTGGCACAAAGACATGCTTTGGTGGTTGCCAAAAATTTGAAGCTTCTTAGCAACGGAGCTGCAGAGAGCACATTGGTGAAGTACACTCCGGCATCTCCAATGGCAATCGTGTCGTTGGGAAGACGAGAGGCGTTGTTACAGATATGGTGTGTGACGCTCATCGGTCGGATTCCGGGAATGCTTAAATCTAAAGACTTATTTGTCGGGAAAACCCGAAAGCAACTTGGCTTAAAAGCCTAAATCTTGTTTATAGTTGGCTAAGCATCATCAATCGATTTTTTGTTATGATCAAAGGGTATAAAAGCACATAGAAGTTTGGTTTTCATTTGGTGATGATTTCGGTTTCTTTTGTTTTCGTGAAAGTTGGGTCGAAAAGCGACTTGTCGATCTAATCGTACCACGTTGGATGGTTTGTGTCGAGTTTTGTACAGTACATTTAGAGATGCACAAAAGATACGATCGTTAAGGATTTGTTGCAAAGGTAATTGGTTGTTTTATCGATACGGAGATAAACGATTGTTTATGTGGCTTTTGGTTTATAGAGTGTTTTTGGGTGGAATAGTATCTAAAAAGAATTTTGACTTTCAAGGAATTAGAATAAAATGTTACGAAAAAACATTGGAGTGGAAAGAACTTTGGTTTATGCTTTTATTGATAACGTTTTTTCGGACAAAAAAACAGGGTTCTAAAATCCGTGTATGACGTAAGATTTGTTTCCGTTGTTTTGACACCGACTAATAATGTTTCATGTATTTCTCTAAACTTAATATAATGAAGATGATAATATTCATGATTAATATCTTTCATAATAACAATGATTAATCAACCTCTCATAATTACAGAAAAATGAACAAAATGAAAAATTATGATTGGTTGAATGAGGTTTGTACAAATAACGTGGTTTGCAAAGTAAACTTCCTCTCTCTCTCTCTATATATATATGTGTGTGTGTATATATGTATGTATATATCAAGATTTAAGTTGAGAACTCTAAGAAGGGATTTGGACCATTAGTCAATTTTAGTCTCCAAACAACCATAGATTGCGCTTTAAAAGGGAATTGATTGAGTGTATTTCATTAGTGTTGATTTAGTAGTTCTCTTCAATTAGAATGGATCCATTGGTGAAAATTATTTCTTACATTCTTACTATAACTTTCATTCTTACTAAAACTCAATTATATATACTAGAAGCATACTCACGCAATGCAGCGAGATATATCGTGATTTTAATATTTCATTTTATTGTTTATCTCAGTCGATGCTATAATATGGCTTTATGTGATTTTGAGAAAGCGATGATGTTTTTATTTTTGAATAAAATATATGT